GTTTTTTTTTTTTTTTTTTTTTTTTTGTAAAATGAGTTGTATGAATTATGCTTTGCGATTGTCAAAAAATGAGTATAAAGGGCCACTAGGCGAAAAAGAATACTTTGAAGATGTTGAAGAAGAAAAAAAAAAAATAAAAGAGTTAATTGAAAAAATAAAAACTAGTAACTATATAGTTGTGCACGCAGGTGCTGGTATATCAACGAGTTGTGGTCTACAAGATTTTAGAGGTCCTACAGGAATATGGACAAATGAATTTCTTAAAGAAGTAAAAAATAAAAAAAAAAAACAAAAACAAAAAAAGAAATGTTTAGAAGTAAAATATGATAGTTCAAGTAATTCATCCATAAATTATTCAATTAATAAAAAAGAAAAAAGTGATATTAATTTTATTAAAAATGAAAAAAAAAAAAAATTAGATACAAATATTAAATGTGAAAAAGATTCAGAAGATAATTTAGATGAAAACATTAGTTTTACAAACGTACAAGACAACGCTGAAAATTTGTTAAATAATAATAGTAAACTTTTATTAAATAATGATAATCTGATTAGTAAAAAAAGACATAATGAAAATTGTAATATAAATAATTTATGTGAAAATTCAAAAAATACACAATTAAAAGAGACTATATTAAATATTAAGAAAGAAGATCCATTAGAAAAATTTAACAAAAATAAAGGAAGTTCTGATGAAGAGAAAATTAAAATAAAAAAAGTTCATAATGACGATAACGAATCAAATGTAACAAATTTTTTAAGCTCGGAGAAGTTTGTAATATTTGGGAAAAGGAAAAAAAAAGTTATAGATCTTCATTTAGCTTTACCATCTAAAACACATATTATGATAAAAGAATTAATGAATAAAAATATTATAAAATTTTTAATAACTCAAAATATAGACTCACTACATTATCGATGTGGTACAAAATTTTCAAAAATAGCAGAAATACATGGAAACATTTTCATTGAGAGATGTGATTTTTGTGGTAGAAGGTATTTAAGAGATTTTGTTATACCTACTATAAGTTTTAAACCTACAGGTTCTTTATGTTTTTTATGTTCTTTTCCACCAGTAGGAATATGTACTGATGTTCTATTAGATTGGAACAATTCCTATGAAGATTTTTTTCATCATAATTCTATCAAACATTCTCAAAAAGCTGATTTTCATTTTTGTCTTGGTTCTAGTTTTTATATAGTACCAGCTAGTTATTATCCTTCAAAAAAAAAATTTGCAAATAAAAATTCTTATAGTTGTTTAATAAATTATCAAAAATCTTTTTTATCAAAAGAAGTTAACTTAAATTTGCATTCAAATGTAAATAATGTTTCAGACATCATTATCAAAGAATTTTCCCTTAATCCATTATCAATTAGAAATGCAAAAATTGTTATAGTAAGATGCCAATTAAGCAATTTTGATTTACTCTATGATAACATAATTACAATAAAAAATATGGAAAAAAATTCGTATAAATCAGAGATATCTAAAAAGAAAAACAATAATTACAACGAAAATAATTCAGAAAACGAAGAAACTGAAAATTTTTCTTTCACTAATATGGAAAATAATTTAAATGAAGAAATACATCTGAACAATGGTGAAGATGATTTAAATAAAAAGAAAGAAATTAACAACACAATTAATAATGAGAGTCATCATAATATATTTAATAATGGACAAAAAAATAACAATACTTTTAAAGAACAAATATTTTTAATAAAATGTTCTATGATTAAAAATATAAAAACTGTAAGTACTGATAGTATTTATGAGGTATCAATAAAGAAATTAGATAGAATTAAAGGTATATGGCTAATAAAATCAAAATCTACGTGTTTATTAGAAGTTGAGTTGTGGTATAATTCTTTTATTTTATTAAAATTAATTTGCAGTGGATACAGTTCTTTTATTGAATTAAACACATGGAATGTTCATGTTGCATACACATATGGTGATGATATAGATGATATGGATGAAGGTAACAATAACAAAGAAAATTTTAAAAATTTTAACTTGTATAAAAATAAATATATAAATGATAAGAGCACAGAGCAGTTTTATGAGAATAATTCTAATAAAATTGAAAATACAGATCAGAGATTATTAAATGATAAAAATGTTAAATTAAATAATAATAATATTAATCATGATAATTCAAATTCATATGATAATTTTAGTGGAAACTTAGAAAATTACTATATCTCAGAAATTTTGAATGAACATGTTCATGTTGGTTATAATCCAAATAATTTCCTAGCAGAATCAAAAGTTGAACTTTTAGCAATTTTAAGTAGGGAAAACCTTTTTAAAAATGAATGTTATATGCCGTTTGAATTGCCTAATTCATTCAAACTTTTATACAATTTATTTTGTATAATAAATAAATATAATGAAGAAAAAATTAGTTATACACAAAATGAAAATAATGATAAATATGAGATATTTATAAAAAATTTTAACTTATCAAAAGAATTAAATTTTTATACTAATGATTTCATAAATTCATTTATTAAAAAGGAAACGTACACTAATAATAACCGTTATAAATTTAGAGAAAGAAAAAAAAGAAAATTATTTGATTATAGTTCTTGTTCTGATGAAAACGAAGAAAAAAGAACTTTTATTTTTTATGACCTGTATATGAGTGAAAACAAACAAACTCATAAAATTAAAATTAATAAAGAATTAGTAAAAAATAATTTAGATAATAATAATTCATTAGGAGATAGTTATTCCTATGAAAATAACGCTTTAAGAGAAAATAATAACTTAATGAAAAATGTTGAAATAAAAAAACTTATCAAAATAAATACTAAAAATGATATTGAATATACGAATACATCAAAAGTTAGAACTATAGAAACGTGTGAAAGAAAAAGTCATACAAAAAATTGTTCATCAGAAAATGAAGATAATATTAATAATTATGACAATGTAATTGGTAATAAAAATTATGAAAATAATGATAATAATATGTATAATAATGAAAATAAGGTCAACCATAATAAATACTCTGATGAATATATTATAAAAAATGATTTAAATGAACAGATGATATTAGATGAGGACATTAAAGGAAACAATTCAGTTAGAAAGAAACTTCACAAAGAAAATTTTGAAGCAAATAGTAATATATCAGATAATAAAATAGATAAATATTATATAGAAAATTACACAAATAAGGAAAATGAATTAAAAGATAATAATTTTAATTCACAACTATTATTTTGTCCTACTATTTTCATAAATAATAAGCACAAGCTTGGAGAACTAGTAACCAGAGTTCCTAAATATATTAAACCTAAAAGAATATATACCCCATATAAAAAAATTAAGAAAGATAAAAGATTTTCTAACACTCTTCAGAAATGTAGATATGAAATATGGCAAAAAAAATATAATGAAATAATAAATAATATAGATGAAGAACATATGATTGATTCAACTTTATACAAAGAATTATGCTATCTTCCACTTTGGATTTTAAATTACGTTAACGATTTATTTGAATGCTTGTAATTGTATGAATAATAATTCTTAAAAAATACAATTTGTATGTTTTTAATTTGATTAAATAATATTTGTCCTTTATATATATATTTGATTTCCATTTTTAATATAGAGTTCATATATTGCTATTTTTTTTTTATGTAAAAACATATTTTTAAGTTTCTTAAAATTTTATCATAATAATATATGTTTATATAATTATACTTTTTTTTTTTTTTTTTTTTAATTGAATTTAATTCAAAATGATGAAACTTAAAAAAAAAATATATTTTATAAAATAATGAAAAAAATTAATATAAATGGAAAAATAAAATAAATGTTCTGTTACAAAGAATTTAAGTGGAATATGATTAAATAAACTGGTAGTTAATTAATGAGGATATTAATGTAATTTATAATTTAGTTTAATAAAAACAAATACAAAAAAAATTAAGGAGATATTTAAAATAAAAAAATGGATTTTTAAAAAATTAAGATTAATTATAAAAAATAGGTAACTTTTTTTTAATCTGACTTATCCATATCATCTAATTTGTTAAGTGTTTGATATAAAACATGACCAAAGTTATCATTTTTTTTTTCAAAATTTAGTGTTATGCTTGTATTTTCATCATTTTCGTTAGACATTGGGATATCATTATTTTCATTTATTTTCCTTTTTATTAATTCAATAATAGCTTTATCTGTTTTTCTAGATAAAATATTTAATTTTTTTCTTAAATCTCTTTTCAAATCAGCATTAATGTTTTTTGCATTTATCTGATCAAGAATATTTCCTTGAAAAGCATTTTTTAATTGTTCTTCCATTTCTTCATCTAATTTTCTTTCATATTCATCCGTTTCAGGACATGGTACGCATAATTTTTTTAACTCTTTATTTATCGGAATATAATTAAAAAATTTTAAATTTTCATAATCCTTTACTTCCATTTTTTTTTTTTATTTGTTAGAAATTGTAAAGAATTAATTGTAACATTTATATCCTTATATATAATATTTTAATATTCTTTTTTCATCATTTTATGAAAAAAAAAAAAAAAAAAAAATTGAATTATTTAAAATTATTCTTTTTAAAAATTTTCATTTTTTATTTTTTCTGAATTTTCTAAACTTATTTATATATAATAATATATTTTTTCTTTATTTTTTTATTGAAAAAAAGAAATTGCACCTTTAATAAAATTTATTTTTAATTTTTACTTTTATATATATTTTAAATAACATGAAGAATAATCAAAATTGATTTTTTATTTTTTAAGAAATTTATGGCTTTTGGATCCTAGAATAAAACATGTATGTATGTAATTATATATATATATCTTCAGTTAAAAAAACTAAAAATTTTAAAGGAAATGAAAAAAAAAATTTATTAATTTCATTTTACTCTTATAATTGTAAACAAGTAATAGCATATAAGAAAAAAATATTTGCTTCTTTTATTCTTTATTATTTTTGTTTATTAAAATTATTAGAAATAATAAATTAGTAAGCTTATGAAAAAAATAAAATAATTCAAAATTATATAAACTTACAGATAATCTATTTCTTAAAAATAAATTATAACTATATTTTTCTTTTAAAAATCAAGATATATTTTATCATTATTCATATTATGAAATGATTATTTTATATCCATTAATGATATATTAAAAAAAAATTGCGAGAATGTTTAAAGTATACCACCATTTAATATATTTTATGTTTAAATAGTAATATTCAAATATTATGTATTTGAATTTAAACATACTTGTTATAACTTATATAGAACAATTCCATGATTATGGGAAAAATATATTAAAAAATATTTTGTAGAAAAAATTCATTATATTATATGGAAAACAAAAAAAAAAAAATAAAAAATAAATAAGTGTACAAATTAACAAAAAAAATTTATATTTAATAAGAAGAGAATTGCTACTTAATAATATTTGATTTCAGATAAAGTTAAGAAATTAAAAATATTGTTCAAAAAAAAAGAAAATAAATATTATGAAAAATATTTATCACTCATGATAAAAAAAAAAAAAAAAGTAAAAGACTATAAATTTTAATTGCTTCTAAAAAGTAAAAAAAATTTTAATAAATAAAAAAAAAAAAAAAAAAAAAAAAAATCACAAATTTATAAATATCAGAATTTTTTTTTTCTTTTTTCTTATTGATTAAATATAAAACATAATTTATATGTTTGTTATTTACTTGTGGAGGAATAAAATTTGTAGGGACTGTATTACAGTGTTTGTGTTGGTAGAAATTTCAAGAGTTTTGTTTTTATTTATGTTAACATCACCAGTAACTTTTGTATACTGTTTTGACTTTAAAAAAATGTCATTTATAAAATTTTGATCATTTACTTTAATTGAATTTAATTCTTGTCTTCCAGTAGGTGATCCAATTTCTATTGTTACATAATACATTCCTTCATGTAACAAATCTATTGACCATTTATTAAAAGTATCACATGAATCATTATTACATTCAATAGGATGAAATGAAATTCCTGCATGAGAAAGATCTTTTTTATCTAAATGTTCCATTCCTATAGGAGTAGGCAATTTTTCCCATCCATATTTAAAAGCTCCATGTGATTGTTTTTTCAACCCATTATCTATTAGCCAATTCAAGGGTTTTAATATATTGACATTCTTACTTCTAAAAAAAACATTAATTTCATATTGTTTTTTTTCTTCTAAAATTTTTATCTGATTTTTCGAATCTATACATGGGATACCATAAAATGTGATGTTACCTCCACTCTGACTTTTTGAATCGTTTACTTTCGATATGACTGCTTTTACTGTTTTTGTTTTTATGGGTATTTTAAGATTATAATTATGATGACCAGGAGATATTAAAAATACTTCAGGACTTTTTAAATTAGGAAAATATAAAGAAATTTCTTTAACCACATTCTCTGTTGAAGTTAATGTTCTAAAAGTAAAAGAGTGTATATCTATGTCATTTTTAAAATTAATATTTATATATTGCCCTAATGATTTGTTTTTAGATGTTTTCCATGTAGAATGTTCTTTTTCTTCATTGTTTCCACTAAAACCAGCATTACAATCAAATTTTTCTGATTCGTAAGAAGAACTATAACAGGAATCAAAATAAACTGAATTTGTTAAAGAAACTGCTTGCACATATCCCTTACAACTATTGGTAGATCTTAATTCTTTTTGCTCAACAAATATGATAAAAGGTGTTGATTTTGGAAAAGTTATAACTACATCTCCTTCATGATAATCAGATGAATATATATTGTATATGTTTTGTTTAGATTCTTTTGTGTTCGTATTTTGTACTTGATATATGGACAAGGTTTCTTTTGTATTTACAAATTTTTTTTTAAATACTTCATTAAATGGAATATCATTTTTCTGTGGTATTGCTATAAAAACTGTGCTAAATACATTTATTTTAAATTTAACAATATTTTTGCTAAAGTCATAACGTGTTCTAATACCTTTTGCTTTTTCATGAATAGTAGGAATATCTGTAATTATATAATCTAAAGAATTCATAAAGGAATATGTCCCATTTTCAAGCAGAATAATTTCAAATTCATCACCTTTTAGTTCTGTAATTCTTAAAGGGCTAGTTACATTTCCTTGAAAGAAATAATTAGTTGGTATAATTTCTTCTGCTATATTATCAGATTTCCAATATAAAATTATATGAGCAATATCAGGATTTTCGTATTTAATAGTACTTAAATGAAAATATTCAACGCGAAATTTGTACTTCTTCCCTCCTATTAGCCCTAATTTTTCTGAACTGACTTTATGAACATTTGCATTTATTTTTTCTATAGGAAGGATAGATATAGGCCTATTTTCTTCTGATTCATCTTCTTTAGGATGTGGCATATTATCTACAATTATGGGAGAATTATCAAGAAATATTCGTACACCACAATCATGTTCAATTATAATAACATAATTATCTGTTTGTGGTATTTTTAAATATCCATCCCACCTAATGGAAAAGTGCTGATAAGGAATATTTTCTACTGGAACCCCTGTATCCCATATAAAATTTAAATATTTATCATTATTAATTGAAGTAGGATATCCTGTAAAATAGGCATTATCATAGTAACTACCTATTAGTCCATTCGCTCTCTCCTCAACAATATATCCTTTCAATATACCACAATTTCTTTTATTTTCAAGAAATGATTTTCTATTTTTTTCCACTTCATCTATTAGTTCATACATTTTTGTTTCAGTATCACTTATAGAAGATGCTAGTAATAATAATTTATTAATATTTCTACTTGAATTTTTAGCTATATCATTAATTTCATGAATTTTCTTCTTTAATAATTCAGAAGTAGTTCCACATATCTCTTGGTATTTTTCATATATACTACCTAGCTTTTTATTTTCTTCATCTAATTTATTCACAGCACTACTTAGTTCATTAGATTTCGCTTGAAAAAAAGTTCTAGCTTTTGAGCGAACAATATCATAATTAATTACACCTTTACAATAATCCCAATCTCTATTACCTTTTCCTATTAATTGAACTTCTACATAACACCATTCTTTTCCTGTTATTCCATTAGGATCTGTTGCTTTTGTACAATCAGTATATGTTTGATCATCTTGTACAAAAGCTGCTGCACATAGTCGACCATCAACTGTTTTTCTATGTTGTTGGCGATATTCTGTTAGTTTCTAAAAAAAAAAAAAATTTTCCTTTTTTGTAAAAGCATATACTAGTTTCATAATTGTAAACAATTTAAATTAATTATTATAAAAGATTAAGAATAAGACATATATATATACATATATTTATTTTCATATTTTTTTTCTGTTACTTTTAAATTTTCTTTATCATAATTTTGAGAATAACATAATTGAATAATCAAAATTAATATAAGATAAATAACATAAAGAAATTCCATATTATGCTTACTCTATAATGAAAAAAAAAAAAAAAATATCTTAAAAAAATGTAAAAAAATTGCAAATTTTCAATGTTTATAATAAAAATTAAAATAAAAAATCATTTTATTTTACAAAAATTAAATGCTCTTAAAAATAAAATTTATTAAAATTGAAATCATGGAGAATATAGGAAATAAAGTAAGGTAGGAATAGAATAATTTCATATAAAATAAGAATATTCTACCTTTATTATTTTTTGAGAAAATAAAAAGTAATAATTATGCAGTGCTCGACAATATTATATTTTTTCTTGAATACAAATGGAATTGCTGTTTTAGTCTATTTTATATCTTTTTTTTTTTTTTTTTTTTTGTCGATAGATGGTCAAGTGGCAGTCGGTCAGGAGTTTTTTTATAATAAACGGTAAAAAAAATGAATATATATTTATATATATATAGTAAAGTGTGTAAATGTTTTATGAAACTATATTTAATAGTGTATTTTTTTATTTTTAATTAATTTTGCAAATATGTTAAAAAAATTTTAATGAATATTATTCTATACAGAAAAATAAAATAATAATAAACATTCATGCTAATAACAATGTTAATAACTATAATAATATTTACAATTAAAAAAAAATAATTATGATTTTAGTTATGATCATATTTGTAAGAACAATAATTATATTTAATAATGATATCAATAATAATTATGAATATTGTAATTAATTCTAAAAATCATCTAAAATAAATGCACATAATACTTATAAACAAATATAATAATGTAAAATATATATATCATTTATTCTAATACTTTAGTGTAACTTTTTTTTTTTTCAGCTATATAAACTTCTATTATAGTAAAATATTAACATGAAATATATTGTTAAAAAAAAAAAAAAAAAAAAAGCAAAAAAACAAACAAATATTAATCAAAATTTTTATGTTATACAAATAAGAAAAATGAAGTATTTTATATTTATTAAACAAATAAAAATAATTATTAATTTATAAGTCTAGTTTCAATTTATTTCCAACATCCATGTGTGATATCATCTGAAAAAAATAAAAAGAAAAAATCATAAAAACATATTAATAATAAAAATATATATACATATATATATATATATATATATATATATATATATATATATATATATATATATATATATATATATTATTGAAAATATATAATTACATCTTTAAATTCTTCAAATGAAATCATTCCATCACCATCCTTGTCTGCTTGTATAATAGTTCTATCTACTAACTGTTGTAACTATAGATAAGAAAAATAAATAAAAAATCATACATAAATTATTTTATATAATATATTCTACATATAAAAATTCTGTCTTTTTTATTAAAAAAAATATACTTGTATGTCACTTAAATTATTTCCAACCATCATTTTCATCACAGTAAATAACTCTCCATTAGAAATCATCCCGTCTTTGTTAATATCATAAACGTCAAAAGCAAATTTTTTTTTTTGAAAATCATCAGTGCTTGATGCTAGTTTAGCTAAGAATAAAAATTCATAAATGTGTTAAAGATAAAATATAAAATAAGCATATAAAAAAAAAAAAAAATATGTAAAATTGTATTGTTTAAAAACATTTAATAATATAAAATTAATAAAATATAATATCTATCATATACTTATTCCAACTAAAAATTCAACAAAGGAAACCTTTCCATCTGAATTGGAATCAAATATTGATATAACTCTTTTCACCAAAGGATTCTAAAAGATGTAAAAATAAAAATCTACTTATATTTATAAGAAGAAAAATCTTATTATATGTACATAAATTACATATTTATAAAACCTTCTATAGAAAATAAAAATAATAGTAATTTTTATAAAAATTCAAGAATAAATTTTTTTTTTTTTTTTTTTATTCTACATCACATATTTCAGGAACATCGAATAATTCATTCGGATCTAATTCTCCATTTTTATTTGTATCTAGTTCAATGAATCTTTTATACATTTTTTTAATGTCAGTTTCACTAAAATTAGATGCTTGTAGCAGATCTTTCTGTTCCTTCTCAGATAACATTCCTTGTGTGTTCCTATTTTTAATTTATAATTAAGAAAAAAAAAATTAGAAATTTTTTCATAGGAAATATTTAAATAAACCATTATGGAATTATTATAAAAATTCATTTATTTGTTTATCATAAAATATGTGTATATTCTTATAAAAGTTCGTATCCTACCCCATAATTCCGTTTTTAAGTATTCATGACAAAGTTTATATGAAACTTCAATAATTAAAAAAATATAATATTCTTTTAAGTTTTATTAGTTTTAATTAATTCTAACTCTAAAATAAAATTATAAACAAGAATTTATTATGATATAAATACTAATTCTTATATAGCTTAATATGTATTTACAAGGAATTAAATTTTAAAAAAAATGTTAGAAAATGAATAATTTTTTTTATTATTTTCTAATTGATTTCTTTTTCTCTAGTATTTTGATAAATTATTTAAATATATAAAGCAAATATATACCGTATATATATTAAGTGGCTTTTAAAGAATCTATAAATATTTTAATAATTTATGGGTTAACCATATCTATAAATTCGATTATAATGAAAAATATATATTTAAAACTTTATCAAGCAAGCATATCAATTATGATTGATAAAAATTAAAGATAATACTTTAAATTAAATTCATTTTATAATTTCTTCTTTTAAAAGTTTCATTATTTATACATATGTTGATTGCAGTAATGAACTAAATTTGAAACTTTGAAGTAAAATGAATAACACTCAATTAAAATATATATTAAATTAAACCAAAAGAAAGAAAAAAAAAAAAATTATTAATAATAAAATGTCAAATTGGTAATATATATAAATATATATGAAGTTTAATAAAAGTGATATATCAATATTTTTTCAACAAAATTTAAAAATGTAAAAAAATTTTAATGCGCATTCATGCACATAGGATCAAAAAAAAAAAAAAAAAAAAAAAAGAGAAAAAAAAAAACAAATACATTAAAATAGATAAATAAATAAGAAAATTAAGGATAAAAAATAAGATAAAAATATGTATAGAATTGTAAAAAAATTATATTGTATCAAAAAATGATGCTTTGAAAATTATAAATATAAGAACGAAGAAAAACGATAATATGGAAAATATATTTAAAAACTTAAATGATAAAAAGAAAAAATAAATTAATATAATTCGATCATATAATATTGATATTTTAAAAAAGTATTTTATTATAAAGATTTATTTTTGGAGAAAAAAAAAAAAATATATTATTATGAGAATGTGTGTGCGTGTGTGTGTGTGATTTTTTTTTTTAATGTTACTATACATATCATAAAATATATCCCAAAAAGAAATTTAAGTATTATAAAAAAAATAACTTACTTGATGTGCATATTATTTATATAATAATGATTATCTATAATTAAAATTTTATATTAAATTAAATGTAGACATTTAATTATTTACATAAATATTCATTATTTTCTATGTAATTTTTTTTGTATAGAGCTCATTCTTAAATTATATGAACATCATGGTATATATTTAAACAAAAATAAATTATATATTAAAAGAAAAATAAAAAAAATAAAAGAATACATATAATTATTTAGGTGGAATTAATTTTAGATGTGATCATGTAGATTTTTATCAAAACTTACAATACAAAATTTTGAAAAAAATATCAAAGTTTTATTATATTTTTAGTATTTTCTATACTTTATAAATTTTAAAATACATAAAATTAATTATCATTTACGGGAAAAAAAAAATGTTTTTATTAAAAAAGTTATTTCAAGGTATAAATAAAAAAAATAAAATATATTAACATAATTTTTTTTCATATATTTTTACCTAATGAAGGTAACAAAAGAATCTATTGTTAATTTAATTAAAAAAAAAAAAAGGAAAATTTTTTTTTTATATTTTTCTTTTAATATTTCCATAAATAAATATAAATTTATTATAAAAAAGCATTATATCTAATGGTTATAATCTCAATATTTTAATTTTCTTGAACAATATTTTTTAAAGTTCATTATCTATTAAATAATCACTTTGTATTTCCTATTTCTTATATTTTAAAAAAAATATTTTTTCCTTAAAATTATTAAATGAAATATGAGGAAAATAATTTAACATAATTATGTATAAGTTCTAATATTTTTTACGTAATCGAAAAACATGAATCCTATTTATTATAAAAAATTTGTTTCAACAAAATACAATTTAGTGTTTTTATTCCCATGTAAATTGTTTAACTACTTTTGTTTTCTTTTCATCTAAGTAAATTTAATATGTCAAAAATTTAATTTATTTTAATGTTTTATTTTTTATATAAATCTTTATATATATATATTTAATTTTAATAAACTATATATTTATCTTTTAATTGTAAAGCTAATAAAAAAAATATATGTCTATTTTAATAAAGGAGAATAATTTTATAATTATTACAATGTAATTCATTGATCTTTAATTTTAATCAAACATTTTCTTTTTGTCTTCTTTAAATTATGCTTATTTCTAAGTTAAACTATATTTAAAAGTAGGATTAATTATTAACATAAATATATAAATCGGCTCATATATAATACCAACATAATATACACGATATATAAATGAACATTATAGACAGTTTTTTTCAATTGGTATTCATTTTTCTATTAATTAATTTTTATTTTTACCTAGTTGATATACTATATATTCTCGATTAAAAAATATATTTTTTTTTATTTTAGATATACAGGAAAATTTTAAAAAAATATATTCATGAAAATTAAGTTTGTTTTGTTTTAAATAAAAAAAGTTGCAAAAAAAAGGAGATAAGCTTTAAGTATTATTTTTTATTTATATAAAATTTTTATTTATAACTTAATCATGCTTAATATGCTATTTAATTACTGTAATATATTGAAAACCTTTTTAGTATTTCTTACCTTGAAATATATAAATTTTTTTTTTGTTTTTTATATTTTTTTAAGGCAACTATTAAATAGCTTTACATAAACATAGAAAAAAAAATGTAAAATGTTGATTATAAAAATATTTTATATATTTTATTTTTTTAAAATTCTTTTAACTATATAATTAAATGAAAATAATATTATATAAAACAAAGTTTTCCTTTTTTCATTTTTTTTTTTTTTTTTTTTAATATATATATTTTCTTTTATTATGTTTTAAAATTTTAACATGTTCAAGATATATATATATATACATATATATATGTATATATCTTTTTTATTTTTCCATTTATCTTTTTTTTTTTTTTTTTTTGTTAATAAAATTTTATTAAAATACTAAACGTTGATAACAAAAGGAAATACGTAAAATTTCATATGTGAAATTAAAAAAAAAGAGAAATAATATTTGTGAAATTTTATTATTTCTTAGAATAAATAAATAATGAAAAAAATTAATGAAAAAAACCAGTTGTTATCTACAAATTATTCAAATAAAGCAAAAATGAAAAAGAAATTTTTTTTTAAAAGTATAAATAAAAATCTATTTTTTTTCCTTTTTTTTATATTTTATTTAATAAATTTAACAGAATGTCAAATAACAAAAAAAAAGGTTTCAGTGAGTGAAATAAATTTTGATAGTGCTGTGGATGATGTTCAGTGGTGTGGTCATAATCATATGACAGTTTTAGTAAAAACAGTTAAAGGAAGATTGTATAGAAGCGCAGATGGAGGTAAAATATGGGCAAATATAACAGGAAATTTAACAGAAAGTGCAAATAGAAGAAATGATATTACAAATCAATCAAATGAAACTATCGTCGTAGATCTTATTATGGTTAATCCAGTTAACAAAAACATAGTATTAATTATAAGTAATCAAAAAAATCATTTCATTTCAGAAGATTCAGGAGAAACGTTCCGTTTAGTAAATTACCAAAATAAAATAAATTTTTGGCAATTTCATAGTACTAAAACTCATTGGGCATTAGTTTCATCATGGACATTAGCTTGCTATTCAAGCACAGAAAAAAGTGGAGAATGCATGCAAACATTATCTTTAACAAAAGATTTAGGTAGAACATTTCAATTAATAGATATTTATGTTGTTCAATTTAATTGGGGAGATAAGGAATCACATTTAGAAGATACTATATATTATACTCGTCACAAAAACAGAAATGGACATCAACAAAGATTCAGTGGATGGTCTAAAGATGTTGATTTTGTATGCACAAGCAATTTTGGAAAAAGTGTAGATGTTTTAGTGAAGCAAGGAAATAAATTTTTAATATCTAATGGATATATCTTTGTTGCAAAATTAAATGACGTAATTAAGCAAACTGTTAATATGATGGTCTCAACTGATGGAGGAAAAACCTTTAACAAAGCTAATTTACCAGAAAATATACATGAAAAATCGTACACAGTTTTAGATACATCAGAAGGTGCTATAATGTTACATGTAAATCATGGATTATCTTCAGATAATGTCAATACAGGTAATGTTTACATTTCTGATGCTTCAGGATTAAATTATACTTTATCATTACCAAATAATATAAGAACATCATCAGGAGAATGTGAATTTGATAGAGTATTAAGTTTAGATGGTGTGTATATAGCAAATTTTTTAGATGTTCATGATGACATAAAGGAAGAGGATTTAAGATTTAAGAATTTTAAATCTGAATTAGAAGAAGATTTCAGCATGTCTGAAACAAATGTTGAAAAAAGAAAAAAACAAGCAGCTAAGGGAAAAAATGAAGATTTAGTTAGAACTGTAATTTCTTTTGATAAAGGAGGTGCATGGTCTTATTTAAAAGCACCTAAAGTTGATAGTAGGGGAAATAAATATGATTGTGAAGATAATTGTTATTTGCATTTACATGGTATTACTAATTATCATCAGTATGCACCTTTTTATTCCATTGAAAATGCTGTTGGTATAATCATGGGAACAGGTAATGTAGGAAGTCATTTGAGATATGAAAGCGATGAAGTTAATACTTTTTTATCAAGAGATGGTGGTGTAACATGGGTTGAAGCTCATAAAGGTCCATATATTTATGAGTATGGGGATCATGGTGGATTAATAGTCATGGCTGATGATTTACGTAAAACAAATCAAATCGTATTTAGTTGGAATGAAGGACAAAGTTGGTTTGATTTTGAATTAGGGCAATTTTCTATTGATGTTGATAATATTGTTGCAGAACCTAATTCATCTTCTGTAGAATTTTTAGTATATGGTACTAGAAATGATGTAGGAGTTTTATATCATCTTGATTTTAATGCTCTTGGTCAACCCCCATGTAAAGGCTTATGGGCAGCTGATTCTGTTTCTTCTGATTATGAAACTTGGACCCCTTCAAGTGGAAAGTTTTCTGATAAATGTATATTAGGAAGAAAGGTTACTTATACAAGAAGGAAGCAAACATCTGAATGTTTTAATGGAAAAGATTTAAAAAGAATTGTTGATAAAAAACCATGTGAATGTACACCAGAAGATTATGAATGTGAAACAGGTTTTACAAGAAAGATAGGAAGTTATGAATGTAAACCTAACGATCCAACCCTAACAATTGAAGGATGCACAAGCAGTTCGTATTTTTATGCAGATGCTTACAGAAAAGTTCCTGGTGATATATGCATTGATGGATGGGTTCCTGAAAAAGTTCCTGTTCCTTGTCCAGCACACGCTCCATTTAACAGAAGTAAGGATTATATATATATATATATATATAATTTTCTCATTTTCCTTTCATCTTATATATTTTTTTATTCTTTTTATATCCTTTTTAGGTGCCAAATCAATATTATTCATAATATTTATTATGGCCATGATAATGCTTATTGTTACATATATATGCCGAAATCCTAAATTTAAAAATTTATTCTACAATTATGGTATAATATATATATAAATTTTTACATTCCTTAATTTTAATTTAATTCGTTGTTATTTTTTATATAAATATATTATATATTCCTTCCTTTTACACTTATATATCTTGGAATAATTGCATTAAATTATAATATTTTATAAGTTTAATTTTTTTAACTAAATATAAATTTTTCTTTTATTATATTATACATTACTATGAATTAATACTTTTTTTTTTTTTTTTTTTTTTTAATTAGGTTTTGATACATTTGAACATGTTAAATACTCAGTTATTAAAACCAAAAGAGGAAATGTAAACACGAATGTATTTGAGCCAGAAATGGAATTTATAGATGCAGAACAAGTATGAAATTTTTATATTTTTTATTTTACATTTTTTGCGTCTTTATATCTTGTTTGATTCTTTTCTCCATATATTTTTGTGTATTTCATGTTAATTATTTTATTATTATAATTCTTTGACTTTTATCTTTATTTTATATTATTAAAAAAAAAAAAAATAAATAAATAAAAATTATTTTTCTGTATTATATAATTTTTAAAGGATGACAATGAAGAAGATGTTCCTACCCTTTTGCCTTACTCGAATGAAAGGAATAGATCAAAAAATAATGATTTTAAAATAGCCAGAAATAGATCAAATCAAAGTAACTTTAACACATCAAGAAACATTTCCCCACCCAAAAATTACTCAGATAATATTGAATTATTATAAAAGGAATAAAGAAAAATAGTAATAATAAAAATATCTGTAGGACTTACAATCATAAAATTTATATTCATACAAGAAAATTAATTTTTTTTATTCTTCTTTTTAAAAAAATTTGATTCCAACACAAAAAAAAAAAAAAAAAGAAAAAAAAATTTTGTTTTAACTTTTTTTTTTTTTTTTTTTTTTTGTGCTAATATCTCTTTTAATATATATATATAACAGTTGTTCTTAAATCTTTTTACTTTTTGTATTATTTATTTTTATTATTTATTTAAATCATTAATTATCAATATATTTTTTTAGATTCATAAATTTATTAATGTAATAATTTATGCCATACTTAATTTTACATATTTACTTTTTTTTTTAATTTAAATATAAAAAATGAAATAATTTTTTAATATTATTTTTATTAGAAAACTATTTTCCTTTGCATACTGATGATCTATTCATACACATTTTTTTACTTTTATTCATTAAGTACACTATATGTGCTTTTTGTTAATTTTTTTGTTTAAATATCAACATATTGCTAAAATATGCACTTTAGCCATCAAAAAAAGTTGAAAAACAAAAATGTCAATTTCTCTATAAGTTTTAAAAAATAACTAAAGAAAAAGTTTCTAAAAAGAACCTGAATTTTTCTATAAAAAAACCTTTATATCCTATTAATAATAACTTGAAAAGTAAATATTAAAAATTAGTAATACTATAGTATATTTCAAAGTGTGTATGTTTTATTTCTTCATTTATTTCATTATTTTACTTTTTTACTTTATATTTCACTTAACAAAAAATAAGAAATTATTGTATATATAGCAAAAGAAATTTAAAAAAGTTATTACAAAAAACATATTAGAAGCTTTCTCTTTTTTTTTTTTTTTTTTACTTCTAATAATGATGAATACCTCATAAAAATGTTATTTACTTTAATAAAAAATATTCTTATGCTTTTGAAAATATTTTATAAATTTTTTTTACTCTTATGAAACTTATTAATTTTTTTTACATGAAGTTGGGAGTTATAAAAAAAAAGTTTTAAAAATATTAAAAAAAAATTAAATTTTTTTTATGAATTTTTTAATGAAACAAACAATGAATGTTTATCAATTTTAATTATTTTTTTTCCTACTATTATAAATATAAAGCAGAAAAAAAAAAAAAAAAAAAACTTATATAGAATTTTATATTCTTCGTTTTTTCTGTAGTAGCTTATCATCAGGACCTATATTTTGATCTCCACCCCATGTTAAAGGAAACCATACAGGATAAACTCTTTTATATAAAAAAATAAATACTTTATCATGTTGTTTTAAAACATTGTTAAATAAGCATTTCATTTTCCCATGTGTACCTAATGATTCTAATATCTTTCCAGTTAACCCAAATTTTGTATGTAATTCAACCGGCTTAAAATAGTTTATGTCTTTTGGACTATAAAACATATTCCTTATAACAGCTTTTTTTTTATGAATTTTAAAAATTTTTCCACATAGACATATTCTCTTCATAATTATTCTCTTGCAATCACAATTCATAACCTTTCCATGAGCAATTAATATCGAACCGGAGTTATAATCATTAGATACATTTGATTTAATTAGGTCAATAGTACTACTACTTATATCATTTAAAAAAGTATTTTTTTTGTTATATAAATCATTCGAAATATCAAATTTAGTCATTTCACAATTATTGTAATTCTGCGAAAAATTTTCTTTAACAGACATTTCATTATCTATTAAATTATTATATTTACTTTGAATATTTTTTTTTATAATGAAAACTGGAGAGGCTGTTACTGTTGTAAATCCATATATAGAAGCAACATACTTATTTCCACTTTTCAAATATTTTTCATATTTTGCTTTTGATTGTGTTCCTTTAATTAGCTGTTCACTAAATATAGGACAACTCATGAAATGTCTAAAACCACATACAATTTCAAAAACTTCCTTTGATTCTACTTTTTGAGCATAAAAAGGAGTCCTTGTTATTTCCATATTTACAACTGTTACTTTTCTTTCAAATGGTAATAAACTTGATATAACAAGAGGTAATTTTTTTGTCTTATAATTGATTAAATTAATCAATTTTCCGTCATTCTTAATAATAAATAAGCAATAAGCATCTGTTAGAGTAAATTCATTGTTTATAATTTTACAATTTTCTAAATACTTTCTCTTTGAATATTTAATTAAGTTTTCAAAACTTTCATAATCATAAATACGAGAGTATTCAATAGGTAAATCCTCATAAACATCTATATATGACGTTCTAAAACTTTGCAAACTTCTATATTTTTTAAATCGTTCTCTGGCGCTTATATTTTTACTCAAATAAACATTATCATAATTTTCTGAGTCTCTTTCAATACAATCATCATCAATTTCACCTTCTGTTTTTATATCCTCATTATCTCCATAAGAACTATTTTCCTCAGATAAAATACTGTTACTTGAAGACTCTTCATTATCTATAAAACTGCAAAAATTATTTTTATTTTCATTTATTGTATCATTTTTATCATATGAGCAAATAATATCTTCATTCACTTCACGTTTTTCGTTAGATATATATGTCCATGTATTACTCGTAATTCCATTGTTATACATATTGCTTACATTATTACTCGTATTATTAATATTATTACAAATATTATTCACATTAATATTATTTATATTGCTCATATTTGTTATATTATTCACATTATTATATATATTATTTGTATTATTATTTATACTATTTAAGCCACCATTTATATTATATTTATACACAATGTGATTATTATTATCTGCATTATCATTAGTATAACCAAAATTTTTGGAAGGAAATGACTCTGACATATGTTTGTTCTGAAGAGTCATTAAATTCTTAACTAGCAAATTATTCTCTTCTATATTATATGGTCTTATGCATCTAAAATCATCTTCTTCATCATTAAAATTATTATTTTTTTTGCTATCTTGAACAAGGATATAATTATAGTTAATATTTTGATTCATATCTTTATTATCAATAAGAAACTTATCTAAAAAATTATTTCTATTTTTTTGTTCATCATTCTGATTTAAAAGAAATGAATTTTTTGCATTTACATTTTCATTATTTTTCCTTTGAGTTAAAACATCTATAACATAAATATTATCTATATAATAATCACCAATATTAGTTATGTGTATAGGATTGTAAACGTTAAATCCAACACCTTTAACAAACCCTTTTAAATAAATAGAATCATTTTCCGAATTATATGAATAGGAATCTACTATCATATATCCTCTTCCTTCTCTATAAGATACCTTTTTTATTTTCATACTCATTATTTCGTTATATAATTTTAGAAAATCGTAATCTTTATTATTTCTATTAATAAAGAATATTTTGTCATCTAAGGTAAATTCTGAATTAAAATATCTCATAACATACCTCTGTGAATTTTTGTTGCATTCACTAGTATTGTATCCTATACCAATAACTGAAGGAACTCCTTGTGTTTTTAAAATTGATAATAATTCATAACCTAATTCATCAAATGCAGAATTTTGAATAGAAGCATCTTTAAATATACACAAAATTAAATCCGCGCATTTTGTTCCATCTATAATACCGTATATATCTCTAGGTACATCATAAATTACTAAAGATCTCTTTTTTTTTTTTTTATCAGAATGTATCGTATATACATTATATAGTTTTACATCTTCTTCTAATATATTATGTTCATTTTTTTCATACAAATATTTTATAAATTCTCTTTTAAAAGACAATACATCTGCTTCCTCATGAAAACCTACAATGCATATATTTAATGAATCATAAAATGGTATATATTTTGACTTTTCTTCTCTTTCATTTTTTATGTTATCTGTTTTTGTATTATGAGATTGATGTTTTCTATATAAAATATGACTATATTTTTCACTTATATCTTTCTTTTTTTTTTTCTGTATATTATTTATACTTTTTTTTTTTTTTTTGCTTTTACATTTTTTAAAATGCTTATTTTTCTGCTTTAAGTGTGACTTATGCTTCATTATTAAATTCAAGATAAAAAAAGAATAATTTTTTTAAGCCTTTTATCCGTTGATTGAAAAACAAATATATAAATAAATAAGAATTTATCTATTTTTAAATGAATTAAAATATTTTAAATAATAAAATAAAGAAAAAAAAACTATTATAAAATTAATTAAAACATTAAATAAAATATTTTTAAAAATAACAGAAAAAATTAAAGATAAGAAAAGCAGGAATATATATAATAACGAATTTATATTAAAAAATTCTTTTTATAAAAATAAAAAGATTAAACAATAGTTCGCACAGATATAAAAAAGTAATTTTTTATTTGTTTTTACATTATTTTTTAATGAAAAGTTGAAATATTTTTAATTAAATATTTTCTTAATTTTTTTTATATTTATCAACAACACATTCATTTTTACATTATGAAAAATAAATAAAAACTTGAATAAGAAATAATTTTGATAGTAATACTTCAATAGAGATAGAATTAAATTTTTAATTAATTTTTGAAAGAAATATATATTATAAATATATATATATATATATATATATATATATAAATATGAAGAAAATAATATATTATTTTTTTTTTTATTTTTTTTGAATATAGAATAAAAAGAAATTTTCAAATACCACATTATAAAACTTAAGGAGTAAAAAAAAATTTTATTTTTATATTTCTTCATATAGAAAATATTTGTTTTAAAATGTTTTTAATATTTATTATTTTTAAAAAGAATAATTTAATTTTTTTAAACAAATAAAAAAGTAGCATTGTTACATATTATTAAAACATAAAATATTTTACATTTGTAAAATAAAAAAAATCTTATTCGTTTTTTCTGAAATAAAAAGAAAAACTAACAAATATAAAATTAAATAAATCTACATAAAGATAAACAATTATATATATAAATTAAGAATTGAATTGAATTGAATTGTTAAATAATATTTTATTTGAAATAATATTTGATAAATATATGCCTTAAAACTCATAGTTCAAGTATATCGGATATCATAAAAAAAAAATATATATTTTAGGTTGATACCTTCTATTTATTTTAATAATTAATTTTGAATTATGAATAAATTTTTTTTAAATATACATCCACATTTTCCTGAATTATTAATTAAAAGAAAGAAAGAAATGTGTATATTTTTTTATTATTTAAAAAAACATTCTTTTTTATTAATTCTAAAAAATTTAATTAAAAATTCCATTAATTTATACTCCTCATTTTTCATATATTAAAAAACTGTTAACTTTTTTTTTGGTATGATTTAAACCAATATAGTATATTTCATAAATTAATAAAAACAATGGCTTTCATGTAGTAATAGTAATTAAAAATACAGTTTATACATTTATATAATTTCTTTTATTTTCAAAAATAAAATTGTGCGCCACTGTGCAATGTTAAATCATTTAACTTTTAACATAGAACAAAACATAAGATAATAATATTGAAGTTTTTAATATATGTCTAGAAAATATTTGTTTATATAAAAAAAAAAAAAAAGGAAAAAAAAAGATAGGAGCGTTTAAAATTTTTTTTTTTTTTATTTCTATGTTCTCTTAATTATTTTTTCTTTTAATTACTCTGCTTATTTCTTGAGTAGTTATATTTTATGTATTGAAGTATTTTTTACAATACTTAAATTTATAATGTATGGAAAAATATTCAGAATAGTTTCACTTTAGCTGCTTCTAAATATTTACATAGATTTTCATTATTTTGTTTTTATAGAAGCTTATCTTTTATTCTTTTTGTCTTAATTATAAACAAAAAAAAAAAAAAAAAAAAAAAATTTTGTATTTTATTTTTAATTTATCAATTTTTATATAGATTTAATCTGTAGTTTTTTGTTTTTACCTTTTCTTCTTGTTTTTAATTGTTAAATATGATAAAAAATAGATATAGGCAATTATTAAATAAAATACTTGCTCAATATAATAATTTAATTTTATTCAGAATAGCTTAATATTTTTTAATTGTTGAGACAGATATTATAATGTTTGCAATTCATATAGTTTAATAATGTAAATTTTCATATTTTAATAAAAATTTTTTAATTTTTAGATATCTTTTTAATTTTTGTTATTCATTGTAGTTTTTTTTTTAATTATAAAATAAAATGTTAAAAATTTTCATTTTTATTTTACTTCTATATTTACACACTAATTTTATAAGTTCAAACGAGGAAAATAGATCTACAAATAATAATGAAATAAAAAAGTCCAACAGCCCCACTTATAATTCTAATAAAAAAACGAAAGTTATCTTTTACATGCCTGGTTCTAAAAAAAATGGGGAAGAAAATACCCATGAAACAGGAGAAAATATTGAAGGTAAAGGAGGAATAAGTAAGGGCGTACATAAAGGATCTCAATCAAGTTCAAATGAACATTCAGAAGGTGAAAGTGATAACCATGGTGGATATGAAAAACATATGCGAGATGAACAAAAGCAAAATAAGGAAGGAGATGGAGATAAGTCTCGTAGAAAAGTATATTATTATCAGGATAGTTCCGATGATGAAGAAAAAAGAAATAATTCTGAAAATGAAGAACAAAAAAAGCGTTTAGAGGAGGAATATGAAAAATTAAGAAAAGAGGAAGAAGAACGAGCTAGAAGAATAAATCGTGAAAGAAAAAATGACATGGATAATTCTTCAAGACATAAAGGAAATAAAACAGGAGAGAATACAACAGGAAATGGAGATCGTTATACAACATATAAATATATTCATAGATTACCGCATTCTGATAATTCAGAAGGAGAACATGGACAATATAGTGGATCTGATAATGAATCTGATAGTGAATCTGGTAGAAGGTCTGGTGGAGGATCTAGTGGCGAATCTGATAGTGAATCTGATGATGGAGGAAAACGAAAATATACATCACATTTTAAGACCTATATCGGTGGAAAAAAAAAAAAAGATACACCAAAAAAAAATGAAAATGAAGGAGGAAACTATAGTGTACATCATGGAACAAATGGAAGCGAAAGTAATGGGGAAGATAGTAATGGAAATGGAGATGAAGCAAACTATAGGATGCATCACGGAACTGATGGAGGTGGAGGATATGGATCCAATGGAGAAGGAGGCAATAGGAATGGAGATGAAGCAAGCTATTGGATGCATCGCGGAGCTGATGGTAATGGAGGATATGGAAACAATGGAGGAGGTAATGGAAATGGAGATGATGCAAGCTATAATGTGCATCACGGAACTGATAGAAGTGGAGGATATGGATCCAATGGAGAAGGAGGTAATGGAAAAGAAGATGAAGCAAACTATAGGATGCATCACGGAACTGATGGAAGTGGAGGATATGGATCCAATGGAGAAGGAGGTAATGGAAATGGAGATGAAGCAAGCTATTGGATGCATCGCGGAGCTGATGGTAATGGAAGTAATGCAAGAAATGATAAACCTGGACATTTTCCTTATAAAAGAATTTATGATTATACAACTGATGATAGTGATGATGAACATAATGAAGAATCCAAGAATAAAAAAAAAAAATACAAAACATTTTCTCAAAGAAATCGCAAAAATGGATATGAAAAACTTGATAATAGTGATGATGATGAAGAGAGCGAATATGAAACTAGAAAGGGGCCACATGAAAAGGATAATGAAGATAAAAATGGAAAATCCAAATTAGGCTCATTTACAAGAAACAATGAAAATGAAAATTCATATAATAGTGACGCAAATAGTAAAGAAAATGGATCGGAAAGTGAATCAGAAAGGAACAGAAAGGGATCTGAAACAGATAAGGATAATAGTGAAGATGAAAATAATATTTATGAAAGACATAATAATGATTATGCTAAAAAGCGTGCTAATGAAATTGAAGACGAATTGAATAGAGGAGAATATTCAAGGAACAATTCAAGAGATAAAGATCAAAAGGGAAAGGGAAAGGGAAAGGGAAATTATAAAACAGATAAAGATGGATATAATTCATCTGATTCCGAAGATTCAGATGATGATACAGTAGATAGATATTACGTAGACAATGGACAAGATATGCTGATCAAAGAAAAGATGTATAATTCTCATGGAAGGGAAGGAGAAGGTGGATTAGAAGATGAAAATGACGCAAATTCAAAATATAAAAACGAAAAAGTGAGCTATCATTTTTCAACATATATGAATTTTGAAGATAAAGAAATTTTGTCATCAAATGAAATAGAATTAAACAAAATGATAGGAGATGATTTCTCTAGAGAAATGGAAAATTACTGTCATCTTAATGTACCATCGCAAAAGACAGGATCTTATCTTGATTTGGCTTTTGAGTTCTCTAGAGCATTAGAAGAATTAAGAAATGAAATGTTAAATGATTTAATTAAAAGTAAAAAAATGGGAAAAACAAAAATTTTTAACATTTTACATATTATTCAGAATTCTACAAATGAGAAAAAGTCATCCAGTAAAAACCAAATATATGAAGATGAGGACTATGCCGATGAAGCTAATTCTTTTCGAGATGAAAATAAGAATCCATTAAGTGCAAAATACAACAGTATTATGAAACAATACCTATGTCACTTATTTATGAACAATCCAGGGAAAAATCAATTAGATAGATTGTACCATCATAATTTGGCTTTAGGGGAACTTATAAAACCAATAAGAACAAAGTACAAAAAATTGGCATCTTCTTCCATTAGTTTTAATTATGAATTGTATATAGCATCATCGAACAATATTTTTCTCCTAGCACATATGCTACTATTATCTTTGGCATATCTTTCATTTAACGATTTTTTTGTTTCAGGAATAAAATCCTTTTATTCATTAGAAACACTTCTCTTAGCTAAATCTGATTTCACCTTTTTTATGTATAATGAAATGTGCAATGTTTATTATAAACCTGGAAAATTTTTTAAAAAAGATATAACATTTATTCCCATTGAATCAAGGCCTAAAAGACATACTACTTTCATTGGTGAAAAAAAAATGACATGTGATTTATTAGAATTAATACTAAATGCTATTTCACTCATAAATATACAAGAATTACATAATAACTTAACTAATAATAATGTTATAGGATATGAAAATTCCTTATCCTTTTCAATTAGTGCAATAAGAATATTTTCAAAGGTATGTCCAAGAGTAAATTCATCGAATATGTTAAAGTGCGAATTTGAAAATTCTACCTTACATAAAAAACAAATTAAAAAAACGGACATCAGAGAAAAAGAAAATCAAAAAAATTTAAAAAGAGCTTTTGATTTGTTAAGAATATTTGCCGAAATAGAAAATAACTCTACTAAGGGTCAACCAAATGCTGCTTATATAAAACTTATAATGGAACAGAATAAGTATACTGAATTTTACAAGTACTTGTTCTGGTATGATAGTAGGCAACTTATATATATAAATAAAGGAGAAAAAAATAAAAAATCGAAAAATAAAATAAAATATATATACAACGATTTCATAAAAAGAGGTGAAAAATTAAAAAAAAAGTTAATTAAATTAGATTCAAGCTACAAAACAAAGAGTAATGCATTATTAGTTTTTTATGGAATAATTGATAGATATGCAAATTTTTTAACTAAAAGTGAAACAATAAGGAAATTATTTTTGAATGATACATCTTCCATTCGTCATTATTTATATTTAAATGGCGTACATTTTAAAACATCAAAATCATATTTAGAATCCATGAAAAAATTACTAGAAGAGTTAGAAGAAACTACCAATTCTCCAATGAAATTTATTGTTAGAGGAAATTATATAGAACATTTAAATAATATAGCGAGAAATGAAAATTTGTTTTACATTAATTTATTCATATTATCAGTGCTTTCAGTAAAAGAACCTGTTTTACATTATTACAATGAAAAAAAAAAAATGCTAGCTGCAACCCTTTCTGAAAAGTTTGCATCTTCAACATCTGCATTTATTCCTCATAAACTTCGAAGACTAGTGGTAACTTTAAAGAAAGGAATTCTAAAAAAAAAATTGCTTACTACTTTGGCGAAAATAAAATTGTTACAACATATTCCTGCATATTTATTAGAAAACATCACTTCATCCATTCGTTTTACTACACACACCATAGCAACTATGCAAATTATTCAAAACGCTAAACTAGTATCAAAAGATAAACTTTCTCAGCAAACTAAAAACAGCCATTTTGCTAAACAGATATTTACTAAAGGAGGATTTCCAAGCTACGCTGATAAATTAATATCAAAATGGTACTCAGAAGGTTTTGAAGAATACAAAAGAAAACAAATTGAAAATCAAAAGATGGAAAATTCCATTGAAAAAGAGTTAAAGGAATCTTCAAAAGAAAGTATAAATAATGATTCAACAGAAAATGAAGAAGAACAAAAACAAATAGAAGAACAAGAAGAAAAAGAAAGAGAAAAGAAAGAGGATAAATTATTTTTTAATGAAAATGATAAATGGGATTTTTATTTGAATAAAGAATTAACAAGAGCTCTAGGTTTATGGTTGGATATGAATTCTAATTCTCCTAACAATGCCGGTTTTGTTTATAAACTGGTAGAAGATAGCAAGTTCCTATTAGAAAATAACATTGAAGATAATATCATATTTTCAAGAACTCTTAAACCCACTAAACAAACTGCATTTAGAAAATTTTTCAATAAAATAATATCTCTTGGAAATATGCTTTTAAGAAAACCTGGTTTTAAAGTAGAACATGCGTTGTGGTTTGGGGCAGCTATTGATATAAAAAAAGCATTTATTTTATTAGAAAAAGTAAGTGAATTACATAAATTAATGCATGATCAAGAAGGATCTTGGTTAATTAATGAAGCATTTATTGAAATAGTAGATCATATAGTTGATATAAGTACGAATAAGCATTTAAGAGAACCATTTAGTGTATCTAGAAACCCAGGTATGATGGCTATTAATCCAAAATATGCTACTTTACCTCATGATGAAAGAATTAAAGAATTTCAAAATTCCATGTGTGCTGATCATTGTTCCTCTGTTTGGAAAATTATTTCAACATTTGCATTACAACATTTAAAAAATCCTGATAGCCTTAAAACTTATGAAGAGAAGTTTTCTAAGAATGCTTTTGGTAATAAAATTGATGATAAAGATTTTGTTCACAATTTTAAAATGATACTTGGGGGCGATGCCGCCTTACATTATTTTGATAATATGCTTTCCAAATCTATGAAAAAAGAATTAAAATCCATGAAATATGGTGTATCGTTGACTTCTGCATTTTCACTTAAGTTGACCAAATTAGTTTTTACGCAAATGCAATTACCTTATTTAAGTCAGATGTTTTATGTACAAGCTCCTTATTTTGGTCATTTTATTGGAAAATGGCAGAAAGAAAGACAAAAAAGTAGAATGAAAGAAATAATGTCATTTATGACACTTGGGGCTTTATCTGCATATACAATGTTAAGCGCAATGGATATAACACAACATGCTGAAGATATTGGAATGGGACCAGCTGCTAGTTGTTATACTAGTACTTATCCACCACCAAGACAAATATGTTTGCAATCAGCAGTTAAAACTACATTAACAAATTCAACTGAAGCAGCTATGAAAAGTGTTTTCTCCGTTGGACTCTTTGCATCAATTGGTCCCTACTTATTTGCTCCTATGATTGGTTTAGCTGTATGGAATATTTTAAAATCAGAATTCAAAGTTCTACAAAGAATTGATATGGCCCTAAAAAATGTTTTTAAAAATATGTGGAAAAAATTCTTATCATTAAAAGGAATTACCAAATTAAGAAATATTTTTAAGAGAAAGAATAGCATGAAAAAGAAAATTATAGAAAATGCAGAACATAAAATGAAAGAAATGAAAGAAAACCCTGCAAAAGCTAAGGCTCATAAAATGTCTGTTGAAACTATGCATAAACATTCTAAAGGAGGTTACCATTATGTATCATATGCTAGAATACAAATATAATTTAAAAAAAAAATAAAAGAATATTATGACGCTTTTTTTTTTTTTTTTTTTTTTTTTTTTTTTTTTTTTTTTTTTTTTTTTTTTTTTTTTTTTTTTTTTTTTTTTTTTTTTTTTTTTTTTTTTTTTTTTTTTATTTTTTTCTATTTCCATTTTTTTTTTTTTTTAGATTTTGTAGTTTTTTAATTTGCTATATTTTTTTCGTAATTAACAAAATACATTTTTTTTTTTTTATTTTTTTTTTAACATCTGAAAATATTTTAGTTCTTTTAAGATTTTTTTATATTTTTATAAAACGTAACAAAAAATAAATTAATAAAAATTATAAATCATTTATTTTAAAAATAACATTAAGAATTACATTATTTTTTTTTATTATGGAATTATGATATATTTAAAAAAAAAATTGTTTATTCCTTTAATTAATATTCTAAAAGGATGAATTTTTTTAACATTCCTTTTATATATATTTTTTTTTTTTTTTAATAATATATTTATTTAAGATTTTACAGTTTAAAAGATTCTTCTTTAGATGTTGTAAACTTTCCATTTATTATTAAAAAGAAAAAATCATACATTTTCTAGAAGAAAAACTTAATTTTTTTTTTTGTTACTTTTTGTTAAATATATTTGAGTTTATGTAAATTTTTTAACTTTCTTTTGAATTATTATTTTTGAAAGTTTAATTACTTATAAAATATTCTATAAAAAAAAAAAAAAAAAATTAAAATAAGAATAAAAGAAACACTTCAGTATATGGTAATTTTTAATAAAATAAACTATATTCCAAGTTTCAACATATTATATAAAAGATAGGATAAACTACCTATTTTGTAATATTATAAATATGAATAACAAAACAAATGAGGTTGAAGAAAGAACAAAAGATGAAAATATAAAAAAATTAACTATAATAAAAATTTCATCTATTATTAAAAATGGAGATATTTCAAATTGCCAGGAATTGATTTTAAAAAATAAGAATATAGAAGAATGTGAAGAATTATATCAAATGAAGAATTTAAATAAAATTGATTTAAGTCAAAATAAAATAAAAGATTTAAAAATGATTGAAATGAATTTAAATTTAGAGAAAATAATATTAGAAAATAATTTGATATGTAATGTCAATTTTTTAGATAATATAAATAACCTGATATATTTAAATTTATCAAATAATAAAATTAAAATAATAGATAATATTTGCCATTTAAAGAATCTAAGAACATTAATTTTAGCATATAATGAAATAGAAAAAGTTCCCAATTTATCAAATTTAAATAACTTAGAAACATTAATTTTAAAGAACAATAATATTGAAACATTTACTAAACCAACAAAGCAAATGGTAAAATTGAAAAAAATATCCCTTTCTTTTAATAAGATTAGACAATTTTGTTTTGGTTTTCATTTCTGCAATGTTCAAGAATTAAGATTAAATTCTAATAAGTTAATAAATATTGAAAAAGATATAATATATATGACTTCTTTAAAATTATTATTTATACAAAATAATTTTATTATAAAACCAGATTTTTTAAATCATTTGAATGAATTAAATTATTTAAAAAATATAGTTATTTCAGACAATCCTTTTTTTAAAAAACTAACTATTGAATTATTAAATAATTTTATTCAAAAATCGAAAAAGTTAACTATAATTAATTCTGTTATTATCCCTTGTAACAGAAAGTTTGTAAACTATTGTTTTAATTGCTCAAATAACAACACGTCATGTTCCCACATTTTGAATAATAGTACATGTAAATCGATAAAAGTAGAAAAAAAAGAAAAAAACATGTATACCAATAAAAATAACTTACATATTCATAAAATATCTAAGAGAAAAAAAAAAAAAAAGGAAGAAAATAAAATAGCAATAAAAAATAAATGAAGTGTATGGAAAACATAAATTCCTCAAAAATATAAATATAGATGAAATGAAATAAATAGGTGGCATAAAGAATTAAAAAATAATTATATTTTTAATATTTTATTTTTTCCATTAATTTTTTTTTTTTTTTTTTTTTTTTTTTTTGTAGTATAATAAGAATTATAAAAAAAAAATTTTATAAGTACATACACATTTTTTATCTTTTAATTTTTTTTTTTAATACTCATTTATTTTTATCCATGTTTTATAAATTTAATACTATTTTTTTTCCCGAAAAACATATATATATAAATAAGACCAATTTTATTTTAATTATCATTGTGTTATTTAACATAATTTTTTATTATTATTTATTTATTTTATTTTATTTTATTTTATTTTTTTTTTTTTTTTTTTTTTTTTTTTTTGAATACAACACAAAATTTTATGTAAAAAGGAACTTTTAAACATACGTTATATTTTTTTATGTTAAATTTTTTTTATTTTTTTTTTTTTTTAATATTCAACTTTAATCTTATAAATTTATAATTTTTAATTAATAAAAAAATTAGTGTATATATTTTTTATAAAATAAAAAGCATGAAAAATATAAAAATAATAAAAAATATGAACTTGAATAAATTTATATATTTTAAAATTCAATGAATAAAAGTTTTATTTGTAAGTTAAAGAATAGGACGCTTATTCAAATTTGGGGAAATGACTCTTTTAAATTTCTTCAAAGTTTGACAACTAATGATTTAAGTAAAATAATAAAGGAAGATGAATTTATTTTAAACAAAAATTTTCCTAAAAATATTTTGGCTAATAATTTTGATAGAAATATTTATAAAGTCAATTACACTAATAAAAAATATAAAGAATTAATTATAGGCTTACCCTCCCTATTCTTATTAAACAATGGAAAGATTTTATTTGATTGTTTTATATATAATGTAAAATATATTTATGAAACAAAATCATTTAGCCTATTTTATATCGATTGTAATAGTCAAATTTTAAAGAGATTATTAGATGTGTTAGAAAAACGAAAATTATCATGCGATGTTTATTTTAAGGAATTGAAAAATATCAATATTTATCAACTGTTACCTTGCATATCATTATTACACAATTATAATAATAAAAATATATCAAGCTCATGCATTGATTTGTTAAATACATTTGAAAGTAAAGGAAGTTTTTTTTTTTTTTCAAAAGATGAAAGAAGTGATATATTAGGATATAGAATATATGAAATTACTGATAAAACAAAAAACAAGGATAAGAATATTGATAAGAATAAAAATAATAATGAAAATATAAATGATATTGAAAATACAAAGAAAAATAGGAATATGGTTATTAATGAAAAAATGAATAATGTAATTAATAGTATATTTTGTAAATTTCAAAAACAAGAAAAACTAGAACTTAGAAGTACATTTATTTATGAATATTTTAAGTTAAATTTAGGAATTATTGAAAATTTATATTTAGATCATACATTTTTTAAAGATAGCACATTGAATGATATCAATTATAAAACCAACAATGATATAAAAATGATTGAAAACAACCTAAAAACTGGAAAACGTACAAAAATCACAAAAGATATCTTTATATTTAAAGATTTATCACCTTTTGATTTGAATTATGATAAATTAAATTATTTAGCTAATGATAAAGGTTGCTATGTAGGACAAGAATCCATTAATAGAATCAGAAATGAGATATTTATAAATAAATATGAATTATCCTTTTGCATTAATTATGATTATTATGATTTGTATGTTAATCATTTAGATAATTTAAGTGAAAAAATGTACAATGATTTCATATATAAAAAATATTTAAAAGAAATCAATGATAAACATCTATTAAAATCCTCTTTTTTTTTACTAAAAAATCTTATAGAAAATCAAGAAAATATAATTAATTATCAAGATCAATACAATATATTTATTGAGAACAGTAATGAAAATAATGATTCTTTTTTAAATAATATAATAGGTAATGTTTTTTTTTATAATAACATAATGGGATTATGTTTTTTAATTAAAAAAAAAATACAAGATATCAAAAAAGACATATATTCTTCTTCTATAAATATATATATTAAGAACAAAGTTAATGAGAGGAAACAGAGGATTTTATTTGTCCCTTTTAAATTTCATAATACATTTATAAACGCAAAAAAAGAATCATATTGAATAACATATATATAATTTCATATAAACAAAATAATAATATAATTACATAAAAAAATATGTGTGATTATAATAAAAAAAAAAAAAAAAAAAAAAAAAAAAAAAAAATTTAAATTCAATATTTAAGTATTGTTTAAATAGAAAAACAAGGAATAAAAAAAAAAAGTATAGTATAAAATAATTCAATAATAATAAAATATTCATGTATATATATGTATATGATTAATATCCTTTCAAAATTATTTTTTAATAAAGAATAATTAATGCAATTAATTAAAATAATTCTTCTGAATTTAATGAATCAAGATAATTTTTTAAAGACATTGGAATTTTGAAAAATTTTTTATTGAATTTTTCATATAAATAAATATTTAAAAAATAGTAAATTGATCCACTTGTAACTCCTAATATTCCAGATAATGAAGCTTTTAAATTTTGTGCATGTAAAATATCAATTAAAATTGATAAATATGGCAAATATATATTGTATATACTTATGCCAAAAATTAATTTTGATTTTTGATATGGATTAAGCATACAATTTAAAAATAACAGAGATTTCAATATGGCCGTTGAATAAAATGGCTTTTTTAAATAAGAACAAATAAAAGACAATATAACTATTTGTGATAAATAAAATGAGAGAGTTTCTGATGATCCTAACAATTTTTCTAGTTCTTGACTCTGTACATATAGCATATATATATTTGTCAAAACATATAATGATATATCCCCATAAAACAATGCTGATGTTACGATTCTATAAAATTCAAAAGACCTTATAACTCTTTTACTATGTAATGCAATATCTTCTGGTTTTAAACCGAATATATTAAGTGTTGTTATTATTAAAGAGGAAAATAAAAAAATTTTAGTTATAATTTTTATGTCCCTATATTTATATAGTAATGATGATTTGAATTTATACAAATATAGTTCAAGTAACTTCTTTTTTTCAAAAAACAATTGCAATACTTTATTTTTATTTTTATTTTTTAATACAAATTTATTATTATTAGGTATGCATAAATAATATAGCTTATTTTTTTTTTTATTCTTTATAAAGTTTATAATTTTTTCATTATATATATCTCTACTATACAAATTAATCTTCTTTATTGTTTTCTTTGGAATTCGGATGTGAAAAAATTTTCCTTTTTTATAAAATGCATCATTAAGATCATTTATTTTTTTTTTTTTAAATTCTCGTAGTGAGTTAAATGAATATGTAATTTTTATTTTCTTAAAATCATATATTTTTGCACATTGAACATCTGTTTTTTTAATATTAATTATATATATTAAAATTAAAACTGTGTAAAAAATAATATTCATTGTTAATTAGTATATAAGATAAATAAATATAAATGTGTGTATATATATATAAATATTTTGAAATATAAATATTAAAAATTATTTTTAAAAAGCTATTTAACTTAAAATATTATGATTGAATCAAAAATATGATTCTTATATCTACATTTATAAGTTATTAATTATCATGTAATCCAACATTATTACATCTTTTAGTTTTCTTTTTTTTTTTTTTTTCTCTGAATTGTTAATAATTTATTTATTAAATAATACATATTTTCATATTAATATTTTTTAGTTTTCTTAATAGTATTATTTTTGTTATTTTTTAACGCATATCTTATTTAATAATTTATTTTTTTTTTTTTTTTTCTTATATTACTTTTATTTTGTTACATTTTCTCAAAAAAAATTTTCATATATCCATATATATATTTATATATGTTAATTTTTTTGAAATACTAAATTTCTTTAAAATGAATTACTTTTTATTTAGTCCTTTTTTTCTTATATCATTAATAAAGATAAAAATTTATTGAGAAATGGTAAGATTGATTTCACAATTTTTAATTACTTATACCTTCAAAAAAAAATGCACACATATATAAAAAAAATACGTAATAACTTGAGTGATTCTTGTTTTTCCTTTTATGAACATATTTTTTCTACTTAAACTACTAAAATAAATGAAATTATTTGTTTAGAAAAAAGTTGTAATAAATACATTTTTTCATTTTTTTTTTTTTTTCTTTTTTATAATTAAATCCTTAAGAGCTAAATATAAAATTTAAATAATTTGTAGAAATAAAAAATAAAATTTTATAATAGAAAGTATTACGAACTTAAAATTCTCTCTTAATACAAAAATTAAGAATTTTTTTAAAGATATACATATATTTTTTGTGTTTTAATAAGATATATTATTTAATTTTCTTTTTTTTTTTTTTAAAAGGTAACAAATTAATTAAATTTACAAATTCACTATATAATTTTTTAAATATAAATTTTTCTCATGTTTTTAATTATAAAAACCCTATTCAATGAATTGAAAGTATTATTTTTAATAGCCAATCCCTTTTGTTTATTTTTTATGCAATTTCAGTAAAATGTTTTAAATAAGTGGTATCATTTTAAAAAAAAAAAAAAAATTTGTGTTTTTAACATAAATGATTAAAAAAAGTTAAGTCTTATTAAGGGATTCGTTATCTATAATTTAACAAGAAATATAAAATAACTATATTTCTATAAATTTATAAAAATGAAAAAAATTTAAGTTTTTCTTAATTTAAATACTTGATGTTTATACCAAAAATGTGATAACTGTTTTAAATATATCATTTATAACTTAAAAAATATAATTTTTTTTTTATTTATAAAATGATAGATTTTTTTTCTTTTTTTTCAAATTTTCATTAAAATTATTTATGACAATATTTTTTTTTATTTCCTTACTAAATCAGTCATTTAATTCTTTTTTTTGAATACAAAAGTTCACAAATATTTGTTAATTTTTTTTTAAATTCATAAAAAAAAAGATGAAAAAAAAAAAAGTTTTTGGTTATTTCTTTCTTTGAAAAATGAACAAAAGTAACTCATTTTAACAATTAATTTAATGTTTTTTTACTTTTTAATTATTTGCTATATTTTGTTAAAATATAAAAAAAAATTTTAAATATAAAAAAATATATTTAATATATATATATTTTTTTTTTTTTTTTTTTTTGTTTTTCTTTTTTTCCCCTTATTATTTTATTTGTTTCATTATGTTTTATTATATTAATAATAAAAAAAAAAAAAAGTAAAAAAAAAAAAAAAATATATATATATAAATATATATATATATATATATGAATGTATATAGTAATCAAAATTTCACTTAATGGATAAACTTTTTACCATAAATATAAATAGAGATGAAAATGTTCGCTTATATAAGACTAAGGAGAACAATAATTATGTAAAAATAGGGTGTGAAAAAATAAGTGAAAACGACAATTTATTTGAAATAGAATTAAAGGAAATAAATAGAACTGATAATTTTGATTTACTAGGTGAATTAAATAATAAGCAATCAAATGACTATGAAAATATTAGAAGACAAATAAGAAAACATATACTGAAATGTTTTGAAGACGATAATATTTTAGATAATAAACCAAAAAATTCAGAGGATTCACTAAATGAAACATATTCTGACAATGGAAATTTTAAATTAAACTTAAGAAAAGATAAAATTAATCAAATAATTTCATTTTCATCTCAAGAAAAGTATAAAAAAAACAAATTAAATGAAGCAAACAGTAGATATTATATTGATTCAAAACGTTTTGATGAAAAAGAAAAAAATGGTTGTGATCATATGAATACTTTTATTGATGATAATATATTTATAAAAGAAATAAGTGGCCATATAAAAAACATTGATCACAATTTGCAAGTGAGGAAAGAAAAAGAAGATAAAGAAGAAAAAACAAATAAGATAGAAGAAAAAATTGAGACAAAAAAAAATAATTTTACAGAAGATAGTAACAGTGAAAACAAGAATCTTCTGAATAAAAAGAAGAAGAAAATGATGAAAAGTACAACAGATATTACTACTGAAAATTCTATTATTAATTTCGGTATGAATAAAGTAATAGAAGAATTTAAGGAAAAAATAAAAAATTGGCTAGTTAGATTTCCAGACATAAATTCTGAAAATTTTTTTTTTCATTTATATTTTTTAGTTGAGTCTTATAAAGAAAAAAAAAATTTATGTCAACATTGTGGTTCTATTGGTTGTGAGAGAGATGAATTTTTAAGATACAAATGCAAAAATATGTTCTGTTTTTTATGCAATATTTCAGTATTAGGGCATATGTGTCATAATACAAGATCCCAATATTTGGCATTTAAATCTAATATAAAAACATTAAATGAATATAAAAATATAAAGATTCCATTTAAAAGTATTTCTTGTTTAAAATGTTTAAAAAATAATCATTATAAATGTGGAAATCCTCCATATATATTTGGAAAATATTCTTATAATTTTAGAAGAGGGTTTAGCAATAAGTTAGATAAATCATGTTATGTATATTTAGAAAATCCTCATAATATATGGGAACTAGATAATGTGAAGATAGACAAATATAAATGTAATAATGATGGAAATATAATATCAAATTTAAATGTATGTTTCATAAAGAATTCTAATGATACATTTAAAAATCATAATAGAAATAATAAAATAAGAAATAACAGTAAACATAACTTAATTCTAGATAATGATTATAATAAATTAAATACTTCTTCTGTAGGAGATAAAGATGAAAAAGAAATATATGATAAAAATCCCTTTAAAAAGAATGTACAAACATATAACCAAAAAAGAAGTTTTCCTTTTGGTAGTTTAGAAAATAATAACATAGATATAAAAAATAAAAAACATAAAAATTTATATCATGATAATAATAAAAATAATTTTATGAAAAATAATAATTATGATAATAAAAATAATTTTACGAAAAATAATAATTATCATAATAACAATTATTCTAATGAAGATAATAATCATAATAATAAAAATTATTTTTCGAAAGACAATAATTATGGTAATAATAAATATTTCACTAAAGATAATAGTCATAAAAATAAAAATATTCAAGATAATAAATTAGATATTAAAAATAAATTTAAAATAGAAAATAATATTTATCATTATAACAATAATTTTTCTCATGACTACAACGATAATGACAACAAATTTTCTCAAAGAAATAACAGATACTATAATAAAAATAAATTTACTCATGATAATAATAAAAACGATAATAAAAGTAAATATAATGATAAAAATAATATTTCTAAAAATTATAATAACGTCATACAAAAAAAAACAAAGATACATGAAAACACCAATTTTTTAAGCAATAATTCTAATAATGAATATCATAATTTTCAAAATAGAAATAATATGCAAAATAAACTTATAGGTGCAAATAATAATTCTTATATGAATAAAAATTATCCTTCAATTTTTTATAACCAGAATTCCATTAACGGAAACATAAACGTTAAAAATAAAAATTTTAATAATAGTAATGATAAAAATAGTTACAGTTATAGTAATAAAAGACCCCAAATTTTATATAAAGATACACATAAGAACAAAAATACTGATAAAAAAAATTATAATCATTATCCAAATATGAATTAAATAAATTAAAAATAGTTTATTATTTTAAATAATCGATAAAATATCTAATGTTTTAATATATAGTATAAAAAAAAATAAAAAAAAATTATTTTTATATTTGTTTAAAAATATTCAACATTAAGCACTTTATATATATATATATTATATTGATATGAAAAAAAAAAAAATAATAATACCTATATATGCACAAGTTTCTTAAAGTATTTTTACACTAGAATTATTCATAGCTTTTTAAGAGTTCAATAACAATTTTTTTGAAAAATTTAAGAAATATCAAATAAAATATATGTATGGCTCTTTTATTATGGTTAGTTATATATATATATAATTTTATAAAATTTAATAAGAATTTGTAAAAATAAAAAATATGATATATGTAACATTTTATGATAATTTAAGTTTAAAAGAATTCTCATTTTTTTTTAACGGTTATAATTAAAAAATTAATAAATGAACGTAATTTGGTTGAATAAAATAAATCATATTTATATTATTTTGGTCATCAATTATACCTATGTTTGCTATAATCCCTTTTACTTATTTTTGAAATATATTTTTTATGTGTTTATTAATAACATAAGAAAATATTTAACAGTTAAGGGCAATATATAAAAAAAAAAAAAAAAAAAAACAAAAACAAAAACAATAATTATTAAACTTCAAAAAAAATATGTGTAATCTAATATTAAAATAAAAAACTTTTTTTTTCCCATTTTTCATAAAAATAAAAATTACGAAACTATAAGAACAAATAATAGAATAAAAGCTATCAATGACAAATAAAGTATTAATGATAAAACCTTTGGATCTTTATAAAAAAAAAAAAAAAAAATTAATAATTTTAATTAGGAATAATATAGAGAAATAATTAATAATTTAAAATTAACAATTTAAATATGTTTTATGTATACAAATATATGTAATTTTTAAAATAATTTATTTTTTTTTTTTTTTTTTTTTTAATTGCTAACTATTTGTTTTTAGATAATCTGAAATCTTTTTTGTTACAAAATTCATTTTTTCATCTATAAGAAAAAGAAAAAAAAAAGTTTTTCATAACAGTGAAATATTTATTTTCACTTATACTGTGAAGTATAAAGTTTTAAGATAATTTAATAATTTTTTTTACTTGAATAATCCATTTCATTTTCTAGTTCATCAAGTAACCTAAATATATAAAAAAAAAGAAGAAAAAACATATGGATATTAAGAAAAAGTAAAAGAAGAATAACAATTATTTTTTAAAAAAAACATAATAACTTTTGTTGGTCTTTTAATTCTGTATTAATGGTTATAGCAGCATTATGCAGTCTTTCTGCAGATTCTGCTAATTCTTCCAAATCGTTATCTTGTCTTTTTAAAATAACCTAGATAAACATATATTTTAAATAAGGTAAAATATAAAAAAAAAAAATTCTTAATATTAAAAGGTAATTTCTTCTTTTTTTTTCTGTATATATAAATTTATATTAATAAATTTTATTTCAAATACATAATATATATTTAAATATAACTTACTTTATCATAATCAATCATTATATTATCATTACATTTTTGAACCTAAAGAAAAGATAAACTATGTATATGTTTACTGTTAATATTTTTATATATATTTGATTTTTTTCACATATTTTATTTTTATTATATTAACATTATAGTTTATATTATTTGTTATTCCATTTAAAATTTTTTGAATTATTTTCAGAGATTTAGTTCTGTTCTCAATTTCTTCATTGCTAATATTAAATTTATATAAATTTTTTTTAACAACATTGATTGAATTATTCAAGTCGTTTAAATCTTCATTTAAATATTTTATTTCTTCTTTTATTAAAGTATATTTTTCTTTTGCTAAACTAAAATAAGAATAATGAGTATATATAATATAAAAAAGACTTGATAAAATTAAAATTTATCATATCAAAAAAAAACTACAAGAAAACACTAGATAATGTTATACAGATAAATTATAAATTTATAAAAAATATTACGGAGAATTTTTATCAGGTATATTATTCCATTTATTATATAAATTCTGTAGATTATTTACTGATATATCAACTTCACTAAAAAAAAAAAAAAAAAATCATTCATTATTTATATGTGTTAATATCTCATACGAATACTTATAAAAAACATAAAAATAATTACATCTATATTTGTGTATATATTTATATGCATAAATGATTAAAATAAACAACTTTATCAAACATTGATTAAAACATAATAAATATTAAAAGATATACAAATAATTCTATTTATTAAAATAAATAATTAAAAAGTATTTTTCCTTTTTTTTATTCTATACTGTTTTGCTTCATAAAATGGGTCTACTTTTTCACTTTTCATTTTTATACTATTTCCCTTTTTATTATCATTAAAAAATTAATTTTTTTTTTTTTTATAATTGAAAAGATAAAATGTTAATTATATTTTCAACTACTCCATATAATTACTATTAATTGTTTTATTATTTATTTAAAAAAAAAAAAATAAATTATATAAAAATAATATATCATATAGAATAGCTAAATAAATATATCATTAAAGGTAAAATAAAAAATATTTATGCACCCCTTATATGATAAATATTATGAAAATATAATTTCTTTTTTCCAATTTTCAAATTACAGGTAAGCAAATTTATATATTTTTTACACTATTTTTCATATTCTCAATTCTGATTGCGCATTTTACATATATTAGTGGTTTTTATAAATGAAATTTTATATATGATTGAAAGTTCAATGATAATCCAAAATGTTTCAAATAATTTCTAAAAATTATTCTTATGATACTTTAAATATATATTATATAAAAATATAATTGAATTATCATATTGTTTTCATTCTACTTGTTAAAATTAAAAATTTTTAATACTCAATTCATTGATTTTTTCACATTCTTATTTTGATGACAAAATTATTCTATCAACTTATTTTTCTTATGTATAAAAATTGTGAAAAATATGGAGAATATTAAATCCCTTTAAAAATTTTAAAAAAAAAGAAAAAAAAAGAAAATATAAGGATAATTAAAGTTAAAAATTTTAAAATTTAATACATTTTTATTTGGTAAATGTAATTTCTTTTTTGTTTTAATATTCAAAAAAGTTTCCTTAAAAAAAAAATTCAAATTAATGAAAAAGGAAATAATAAAAAAATTTTATAATAAAAAAAATAAAAATAAAAATAAAAAAATAATTAAAAATTATTAAATAATTAATATGAACAAAAATTAAAATTCCAAAACTTACATATTAATTTTTATAAAAATATTCTTTAACTGCACACATTTAAAAAAAAAAAAATTTCTTTATAAAAGGAATTTAAAGAGAATATTTAAAAAAAATTTTCTTTTTCTTTTTTAATTTTTTTTTTTAATAGAACAATTTAAAATTTTTTTATGTTAATAATTTATAATAATTTTCATTTCCTTTTTATATATATATATGTTTACTTTTTTGTACTTTAAAAATTTGTAATATAACTTAAAAAAATCCTTTTTTTTTAAATTAAAACCAATTTATTATTTTTTTTTTTTTTTATATGTTGTTATTTGTTTCTCATAAGTTCACACAAATATATCAATAGAAAAAACATATAAATACTTATAAAACAAAAGACTCTTAGTTTTTATATGTTCTACATATAAAACAATTTTTTTTTAGGTTTTGGTAGAAGTATCATTTGCATTAGTTTTTAAATTATAAATATATATATATATATATATATTTATTCATTTTAATTATTTTCTTTTTTTTTTTTTTTTTTGTTATTTGTGTTAATATTTTAAAAGAAATAATTTAAAAGCTTCTTAGTAGTGAAAATTTAAATTGTTAATCTTTTAAATAGAGAAAACATCATAATAAAATAGAATATAATGAAATAAAAAATAATTAAGTATCACATAAAGATTAAATCATAAAAGAATAAAGAAAAATATAGCAAAGAAGAAAAAAAGAAAAATACAAAATTATAAATAATAGATTAGAAATAAATATAATTAAAATATATATACTTTTTTTTAAGTATGCAGATAAAAATTCACTAAGCAATTATGGATCCCTTATTAATATTTGAAGAATTAGAAAATGATTTGAAATTATTAATCATTGAAACAAAAAAAAAAAATATTTACATAAAAGATAAAATTGAAATAACTATTATAAAAACCAAAAACTACAGAAGTATATTCAAATCTAATAAAAACAGTTTGTTAAGTAATTTTGAATTCCCTTTGAATGAAATAATAGAGATTGTAAATATATCGGTTAATATTAACAGTCATAAAATAATTTGTATATGCTTATTAATAATTCAAAGAATTGTATTCTATATATTATATATAATAGATAACAAAGAATTAATCAATAATTTTAAAGAAATAAATATAGAAAAACAAATAGAAATAATTACAAATAAATTATTCGATTTAACATTTATTGATGATACAAAAATTTTAATTAAAATATTACAAATAATTTTAACAGCTTTTTCACCTAATTATATTGAATATTATAACAAAGATAATATTAATACTTTGTTGAAAATTTTATATTCTATATATTATTCATCACTTTATGAAAATAATCATATTTTATATCAGACATGTTGTGCCGCTTATAAGCAATTACTTAATTCTCTTATAGATGTATGTAATAAAGAAAATGAAGTTAATTATAAGGAATCTAATAATTTAAGTAAGGAAAAATATGTTTTCGATAAAAAAAAAAAAAAAAATGATCAAAATTATATAAATTTTTATTTCGAAAATTATGATTTACATTATAGTACAAATAAACCCATAGATTTAATTTATATAAATGATATGAATAATATAAATAATATGCAAAATAAAGATAAATTATTATCATTAATTCATTATTTATGCTACTGTTGTTTCATAAATATTCGATCAAGATATAATACGAACAATATTCCATGTGAAAAAAATATATGTAAAGAAAAAGAAAAGAATAATTTTAATAAGCATATTGAAAATTTAAAAAATAATAAAAACACAACCAATAAAGATAATAATAAAAATAATAATAAAGATAATAATAAAGATAATAATAAAGATAATAATAATGATAATAATAATAATAATGATAATGATAATGATAATGATAATAATGAATTATTAAATATAAAACAGAAAATGAAAGATAACTGTAAGTCTAAGAAGGTGAATACAGAACAAGTTTATGTAGCTGATAATTCAATAGATAATGACTTAAATCGTAAATTATCAATTCAAAATAATAAAAGTCTAAAAAATGTTTTTCATATGGAAGATATTACTAAGAAGGAAATTTTTATAAATAGTGATGACAAATGTTCTTTTAATAGTGAGCAGAAAAGTGATTCAAATAATATTGAATATTTAAAAAATATTGAAAGTTTTAATAATTTAGAAGAAAAAAAAAATAATATTTGTAACGAAGAATCATATAATAAAATAAAATGCAAGAGAGAAGAAAATAATTTCAACAATATGAAAAATTCCAATATTAAAAAATTATTAAAAATTTTAAAAAATACAAATTATAAAAGTGGAAGTGAGAATGTTAACAGTTTAAAGCTTAATGAAAATTTAAATATAGATTCATCTGAGTTAAAAACGGAAATATTATCAAATTATAATAGAAATAATTTAATATTACCCCTTAGTTTTTGCTTAGATTTATTATATATATTTTTGAATAATTATGAAAATTTTTTGGATAATTTAGAATTTTTTAAATTACTAAAATTTGAAATTATTTATATTATTTTAATATCATTAAAAAATGATTTACATATAGACATTTTTTTCAAATGTTTAAAAATATTTAAAATTATTTGCTATAAATATTTTCAATATTTTTTAGGAGAAATTAAATTCATTTTTCTAATATTAATTCAATATTTATGCCTAAGTAAGCCACATTCAAAGTTATATATTGTCTTAAATTTTTTTTTTTATTTATTTGATAATACTTTAGTCTTTTATTTTTTATATAAGTATTTTTTTTATGAAAATAGTGGTACAAACAAATTATCTAAAAATAAAAAAGAAGAAAAAGAAAAAAACTTATGCAATTTTTTGAAAGAAAATGATTACAATACGTTTTATGATAATTTAAATGAACCATCAATAAAAGAAAAACATAAAAATTCATATAATTTTAAAAATAATCATGATAATATAGAAGATATGAACAAAACAAATGAAAATGAAAAACATATGGAAATGAATAATAATGAAAAAGGTTTCTTCATGAATAGTGAAGAACAATACGAATATGTTAAAAGTGAAAAAATTAATAACTTAAAAGAAAAATGTAGTAAAAATCATATTGATCCTTATCAAAATATAAGTTCTGAAAAAAAAGATACTAAAACATCAAAACCTTTAAATAACCAGAAAGAAAACAATGATATAAATGACCATTTATTTACAAAAATTGTTGAATACATTAGTAAAATTATACATGAATTATTATTTTTGCATTCAATAGATTTAACTAAAATGTACATTCATTTAAAAATATTTAAATATGATAGAATATATACAGGTGAAAAAAAGATGGATCATATTATTGATAAAATAAAAGAAAAATTGTATTATATGAAAAATGAAAGTAAATTAAAAAAATATGAAGAAGAAAAAAAAAGAACAAGTGAAGAAAAAAATGAGATAGAAAAAATAAAAAACGAAACAAATGGGAAAAAAGAAGAAAAACAAAAAACAAAAAAAAAAACAGAAAAAAATATAGAAAAAGAAAGAAGAAAAGAGAAAGAACAAAGAGAAGTATCATTTTGTAACTTTTTAAGTTATCCAATAATTTTACCAAACAATTTTATAAATCCAAGAGAGGACTTTTATTTATATAAGTTCTCCACAGAAAAAAAGATGAATAAAATTTTATTTGATGATTTATTTTATAGAGATGTTGACGAAATACGTTTACTTGCATCATCTATAGATAACATATTATCCATTATAAACTCTTTTTATATTATTTTTTTAAATATATTAAAAAAAAGTCTCAACCAGTATTGCTATTCAACAATAGATTTAAATGATGAAAAAAGTTTACATTCGTTAAATACACATATATATTATACAAATAATTCTGATGATGAAAATTGTAGTAAAATATTAGAAAAAAAAAATCACAACAAATACAATTTTAAAGATAATCTAATAAAAAATCTCTCTCATATAGATACAAATGATAGTAATTTAATATTTAATTATGAATTAATAAGAAAAATAGAAAATTATAATAATAATAATAATAATGTAGAAAATACAACTACAAATTTACATAATGATAAGGATAAATTTGTAAATAACATTGATAATGTTAAAAATAATGGAAATTTTTTCAGTGGAGAAGAAAAAGAAGATGATAAAAATAAAAACAATAAAAATAATCTTGATAAATGTAATAAAAGTTATAAAAATAAAAGTAGTTATTTTGGTGAACACAAGACACTTTTTTTTAATGTATTTAATTCCACTTGTAGATATTTTATTTCCTCTTTATGTTTAATTTTTTCATATACAAATAAGTTAGAAGTATGTTTTTTTAATGGATTTCAAAAATTAATTTTTATCAGTACTTACTTAAAAATAAATATATGCACAAATGCTTGTTTGCAAACTTTAACAAAATGTAGTAGTATATTTGCTCTTGAAAATTCTCCTTTTTTTTTAAAAATTCTAAAAAATTATGAAAAACAAGAAAACAAAAATGATAATGTATATTCAAAGAAAAATAAATTAGTAAGTAAAAATAATTTTAAAATAACTAATTTATATTCTTCTACTGATAATAAAGCTATTTCTTCTAAAAATAAAGAAAATGATTACATTGATAAAAACTCAATTAATAACAGTTTTCATCAAAAAAATATTTCTGATATTTATACACATATATCAAAAAAAGAAACTATTAATGATAATATCGATAGAAAAGAAAGTATAAAGGATAACTTTAAGTTTAGTAATGATTATATAATTAATGATACTTTAAATATTTTTGATAAAAGAGAATTTGATAAAAATAGAGAAGAGAAAGAAAATGTTGATAACAAATTTGACTTGATTAATAAAAAGAAAGAAATACTTGAAAACGAAAGTGAGAAGAAAGATATAAAAAATGAGTTAAAAGAGAAATTTATTGATTATAATAAATATAATTCAAATATAAATATGAATGATTTTAATTTTAAAGAAATGAAAAAAAAAGATTTAGATAACCATGTATGTCATGAAATAAATAAAATGAATTATGAACAGAAAGCAAAATATATAAAAAAAGATTTAAATGAAAAAATTTTCAAATATCATTTAATAAAAAAAAAAAACAAAAATAAAAAAGGTTATGAAAGTGAAAATAGTTTGTTAAAAGAAGGTTATTCTAAAAAGTTGAGTATAGAAAGTTTTGAATCAAACTTTCTTTCTTGTAAATCACAGTTAAATGAAGACCTATTAAAATATTTTGATGAAATAATTAATAGAATCTTAAAAGAGTCATATTATATAAATAACGATTTAAATAATTTAAAATACATATTATCTATAAAATCAGTGATTAGCATATTTTATATATATGGAGATAATTTGGATTTTAATAACTGGTTAAAGGTAATAAATTTGTTTGTTGAAATTAATTATATTCATAAATATATAGCATCAATAGAGAATAAAACAATAGAATTTTTGAATTTTTTCCATCATATTAACAAGAATGAAGAAGAATTAGTATTTTCCTCAAGTAAAAACTTAGTTAATTCTAATAAAAATAATTATACACAGAATTTTGATTCTAAAAGTATTGAATTTTGTTATTTTATTTTAAGGTTTATACAGAAAAATCCAGTATTATGTGCTGAAATAACTGTAATATTTTCTTCATTTTCCTATTTTTTTAGAAATACAGTTTTTTATAATATATTTACACTAATTAACATAATTAATTCAATTCATTTCATGATATTTAATCAGTTTTTTAAGCAAAAAAAGTTAATTCAAAAAGATTATTACAAAATATATGATACGAGTAATAGTCAAAAAAATGTTAATTTTTCATCTCTTTCATACGAAGACAAAAAAAATGAGTTAAGTAAAAATGCAATAAAAAATAATAATAATAATAATGAATATTCAAATAATAATAATATAAATAGTTCAACTGATCTCTGTGATCAAAATAATTATAAAAAAAAAAAGAAAGAACATATATTTACAGAAAGTAATACAGAAAGTAAGAGTTTTCATTTTATGAAAATAAAGAAAAATAATTTTAATGAAATAAATAAAAAAAAAAATGTAATAATTGAAAAATATATTAATTTTATATATAGAAGCAAAGATATCTTTGAAATCTTTTATTATTATTTGTCCTATTTTGATCCATTATATCTTTCTTATTTCACTTTTTATAGTGATATTTTTTTTTTAAATAAAGATAAGAAAATAAATGAAAGAAGGAAAATCAAATCATTAGAATACATAAATTTTAAAAGTGATGAAACAAAAAATGATATAGATAAATTAAGAGATAATTTAAAATATAACCATAATAGAAATAAAAGAAAGAAAGAACATGATTATATTGTTTTAAAGAAATTAGAAAAATATTGTATTTTTGAAGATTTTTATCCGTTATATATGATAGAAATGCTATGCGTTATTAATATTACCAGAATTAAATATATTTATAATAATTGTTGTATTAATATTTTGCTATTGTCATTATGTAAAAATAATGATATTCAAAAAAAAAGTATCGACACATTATTTAATATTATAAAAGAATCTGTAATATATTATAAATACAATTTTTTAATACAATTTCAATTATTTAAACCATTTTTTTTTTTTATAGTAAATCCATATGCATCATATCGTTCCTATTTTATTACATCACTTTTAAATTTTATAAGAAAAAACGCCTCATTTTTTGATAAAAATATGTGGCTGTTTATTATTTTTCTTTTATATGTATCATTTAAGAAAGAATTGAAAAAAAAAAATTTAAAAAATAAATCTGATACAGATAACCAAATTACAGATGTAAGTATATCAAATATTAATAATATTTTTAATATTATAGAAATAATAATAGTAGATTATATTGAAGATATTCCTATATGTAAAATAATGGAAGTAATAATTAATATGCTCATATTATTTTCTTCCTTAAACTTTTTAAGTAATAACATATCATTTAGAGCAATTAATTTTTCTTGGTCAGTTGTAGATTATATAATAAATTGTTCGGATTTATTAAATGAAAATATAAATTATAATAAAAAAAACAAAAAAGAAAATATAAATGATAAAAAGAACGTGAAAAAAGAAAAGAATATATTACATATATGCATAATTGAAAATATAAAATTGTATATATACGACAACAAAATTAAAATGAAAAATATAAAAATGAAAAGTTTTTTTATTTTTATTTTAAATCAATTAATGAAACTTTGTTTCGATGAAAGAATAGAAGTTAGGAATTGCAGTATTAAAACAATTATGAGCATATTATCAACACATATAAGTAAGTTTGATTTCTTTTTTTATAAAACATCAATATGTATGTTATTAAAAAAACTTAGCATTAAATTTTTTTATAAATTGCAAGAATATTTTAGATTAGAAAAAAATCAAGAGTCTTCTATAGATGAGAATAAACAAAGTGCTGATGAATATTTACAAAATAGTAATTTTGATAATAAAAATAATAATAGTTTTGATATCCTGAATAATAAGGAAATATATATGGAAATCAATGAATTAAATGAAAATAAAGATGAGGATATAGATAATATTATAATTACAAAAAAAAACAGTTCTAAAACAATAAAAGATGATCTAACAAAAAATAAAAATGTAAATAATTATATTTACGATGTAAACCTAAAAAGTGAAGCTATTGATAAAATGAAAAATATTAGTAATATTCTTAAGGAAGAATTTAGGATGAGTTTTATAAACTTAACGGAAGAAAAGAAAAAATATATTATGAAGAAGAAAAACAAAAAAAATAGAAAGAGGAATGATTTATCTGAAGAAATAGACAGCAATTTAATTTTATCTAATACACATAATGGAAACATTCTATCAGAAGGGAAAACTTATGATTTATACGATTATGTTAATGAAAATTTTAATAAAATAATTATCCATCATTCTAGAGATAGTAAGTTAAAACAATGGATAGAAAGTTTTATTTTAATAATAGAAGGTTGTAATCGTATTTTAGAGGAACAAAAGTGTTATAAAAAAATTTATTATTTTTATGATACTTTTCTAAATATATTGAAAAAGACATTGTTAATTGAGTATAATAACAAAAATATGTTTGAATTACACATATCTATATTGCAAATATTAAATAATATATTTATATCAAAATTTTCTTATTATGGAGAATATTACTTCAAAATGAAGAATTCAATAAAAAATAAGAAATATATAGACAATATAAACATATTTAATAAATCATTATTTTTAATATATGATTATGTATATTCTCTTAAAGATACAAAAATAAAAGAATTTATAATAAAGTTAATTATAGAAAATTTAAAAATTATAAATTGTAATAAATGTATATATTTTAACACTTTAATGTATTTACATATGTTTCATTTATTATTTTATAATGTAGAGATTACATTAAAAAAAGAAGAAAAAAAAAACTATTTATTTTTAAATTATGACTCTGTTTTAAATAACTTATATTTTGATTATTTTATTAGAGATTCCAATTATTTAAAGAATGAAATTGAGAAAACTGTTAAGAAAACAATTGAGGACAATTATTTTACCAAAAATATTTCAAATAATAAAAAAGTAGATAAGGATAATGATATTCAATCCTCTGATAAATTAAAAGAAAAAATTATGGAAAAAAAAGAAGAAAAGAATATTGAAAAAAAAGAAGAAAAGAATATTGAAAAAAAAGAAGAAAAGAATATTGAAAAAATAGAGAATGAAAACAGTGAAGAAAAAAAAAGATTTAAAAATTATTTTACTTTTGAATATAAGGCAAATAGGAATACATATGACCCATATAACATTCATAATTTTTTTGAAAATAATAAAAAAATATGTAATATAGATAGCATTTATGAAAATTTTGAAAACAAAAGTTTTTATAAATCATATTTGAGTAATAATATAAATAGTGAAAAATTTATAATAACAAAAAGTGTATTTCAAACTCTTGAATATGATCATATAAACATATTAATAAATGAAGAACTCCTTAATTCTATAAAATTTCTTCTGCATAATTTATCTCGAAATGAAGAAGAAATGTCTATTTACACGAGACTAGTAAATTTTATTTTTAATGATAAAATTTTTTTTAATGAAAATTGTGATGAAATTATTGATAAAATAAAATTAAATGACACATATAATAAATTAGAAATGGATATGAATACAAATGAACCAAAAGAAGAAAATAGAGAGTGTAACAGATTATTTACTTTAAATTATAAAAAATTATATCCTTTAAATAATTATATAGAAAATTTTCAAATGTTTAAAATTAGACTATTTAATTATTTCACTCCATGTCATGTATTTTTTATTCATAATAAATTTAATTTATATCCTAATTATAGTATTAACTTAATATATTCTATAATTTTTTGTAATTTCATTAGACAAGAAAATAGTTTATTCTATCAAAAAGAAAGCAATTCTCTTCTAATCTCCTTAATAAATATGTTTCCTTATATAATAGCAACTCATTTAAAATGTTTTTTAAATAATTTAAATAATAATTCATGTTTTGTATTTTATGAAAGTATAATTATATTGTTAAAATTAACTTATAACATGCTGTTAAATGCTACTTTTATTCCAACTAACAGTATATTTAAATATTGGTGTTCTATAATTTTTTCTATAGAAAAAATCTTATTTGTTAATTGTAAATAAAAAGAGATAAAAATAATATAACGTTTTAACTTTTATAAAATTTTTTTTTTTTTTTATCATTCAAATTTTTTTTTTTTTTTTTTTTTTTTTTCCTTTAGGTAACAATGATAAAATAGACATGTTAGATATTATGCTAATTAAGTTTATAAGAAATAATTATTTAATAAAAAAATCTATGGCTCCATTATTTATTAAAATATATTTAGTAATTTATATATATATATAAAAAAAAAAAAAAAAAAACTTTATATTTTTTTTTATGTCTATACAAATAAATTTTATTTTTTTTTTTTTTTTTTTTTANAAATTTTTTTTTTTTTTTTTTTTTTTTTTTCCTTTAGGTAACAATGATAAAATAGACATGTTAGATATTATGCTAATTAAGTTTATAAGAAATAATTATTTAATAAAAAAATCTATGGCTCCATTATTTATTAAAATATATTTAGTAATTTATATATATATATAAAAAAAAAAAAAAAAAAACTTTATATTTTTTTTTATGTCTATACAAATAAATTTTATTTTTTTTTTTTTTTTTTATTAGACTAAAATTATAAGTGAACTGAATGATAAAAAAAGAAGAGCTTTTTCAAGTTGGACATTACAAATGTAAGTTTTACTTTTTTGTTATAATTATTTTGTATTACTTTTTGTTTTTTTTTTTTTTTTATTTTAAATATTTTGTAATATTTTATATAATTTTTTTTAAGATTATTTGAGGAATATGAAAAAATGACAAAAGAAAATTACAATGATCACTATTATACTACCTTTATTACATTAACCATGTTAAAAAAGTGTGTATTAACTTTAAAGATTTTTTCAAGTGAAAATAATGAAGTAATAATATTTTTAATTAAATACATATTAAAAACATCATATAATTATGTTGATAAAATATGTTATTATGTTTTTAATATGATTAATCTTAAATATTCAAAATTTTTATATATGTTTTTTTTTTTTTTTTTTTTTTTTTTTTTAAGGAAAAGAATACTGATGAAATTTTATTCATTTTATATGAATTAAAAAAACTTAAATGTAGATATTCATATTTTGATATAAGAAATCCAGTATTAAAATGTTCAGGTTTAAAAAATTAAAAAATTTTTAAAAACAAAAAATTTTTATCATATTTCACATTATTATATGTTACTTCTATTTATAGAAGATAAAGCACATCTTTTCATTTGCTACCCGTACTTGTTAGATTGCTTGAATACCGAAAATAAGTAAAAAATAAAAAAAAAGATTACGTATTTAAAAAAAAAAAAAAATGTAAAATATAATTTTTTTTTTTTTTATTTTTATATGTTTATTTTTTCTTTATAGAAAAGTTTTTATGACTATTAAAGAATTATTAAAACTTATCTCATATCCATTATCCTTTAATAATATAAATTAAAAATATATATATAATATATAATATGTATTATATACGTAAAAATAAACTTTATATTCATAATATAATAGTAATACTATATAAAGAATTTTTTTTTTTTTTATATTTTAATTAGTTCCATTTATAAAATAACATAAAATGTTTTAAATAAATAGCTTTAATTCTTAGAAATTCATTGTAAATTGTATATAAAGTACACATTTCATTTAATTTATATATTTTAAGCTGTAATATTTTTTATTTAAATTATATTTATTTTTTTTAATTTTTTTTTTTTTTTTTTTTTTTTTTTTTTTTTTTTTTTTTTTTTTTTGTTTGTTTTATTTTTCTCCTATTAGCATTTGCTTATTATTTATTTTATGTTATATCTTAAAATTATTATAAATTGTTATATTTAACTTTATCATATTTTTCATTTATATTCACTTTTTAAAAAAATTATTGAAATTTTAAAAACATGAAAATTTATATCTTCAAAAAAATTTAATAAAATATTTGTAAAATTAATAAATAAAAGTAAAATTAAATAAAGTCCTAATTTCATATATTGCAATGGATGTTTTTTAATAAAAAAAATTTGCTATTATGGAAGAAATGAGATGTAAAAATAAGAAAAAATATAGACTAAATAAAAAATTTAACTTTTAATAACATATATTTTTTTTTTGTATAATGAGCTTATTAAAGATATGTTTTATATGATGAATTTCTTTATAAACATACATTTTTTATAATTCCAATTAAATATATTCATGATATTATGAAAATTGTAGTATTCATAAAGTTAAATATTATCCATTTATGAATTTTTAGAAATTATTTTATATGATTATATATAATTAAACACATAATTTTTTTCTATTTTTTTTTTTAGCATTGTTAGATTCCCTTATGGGGAAGGATAGAAATGAAATGGATTCCCAAAAAAAAAAATATTCTTTTAAAGATGATAATGTATAAATATATATATATATATATATATTAATATATATAAAATATAAATTATATAAAATGTAAATTATATAAATAATTTCGATATTTTGAAGGTATGCAAATATTATTTAATTGATTTTTGTCCACACGATCTGTTCCCTAATACTAAAAGTGATATAGGAAGGTAAGATTTGTAAATGGGAAATTAGAAATAATAAATATATACGCGAAAATTAAAATGTAAAAAAAAAAAAAAAAAAAAAAGAAAAGAAAGAAAAATAGAAAATTTTTATAGAGAAAAATATATATGTATTAATAAAATAACTACAAATATAAAAAAAGAAAAAAAAAAAATTATTAGTACCAAAGGGAGTTTTATAAATAAATACAATGTTAAATTTTATTAAATGTTTTTCACTTATAGATGTAAAAATATTCATTCAGAAGTATTAAAAGAACAACTCGAAAATGATGAAAACTATAAATATTATTTAGCAAAATACCAACAAAAATTTATGAGTAACTAAGTTTTTATCTTTTTAATTTCTTTCATACATTATATGAAAAAATTATGTCTTTTTTTTTTTTTTTTTAAATATTTTATTATTTTTATTTTTTTTTTTTAGAAACCTTAGAAAAAATTATTGAAGTTGCTGATATAAAAATAGAAAAGAGTAAAGAAAAATTAAAACAGTTATCAGTGAATTGCAAAAACACATTTGATAAAAAATCAAAGTATAAAAATTAAAAAAAAAAAATATATATATATATATATATAAAATAAGATTAAGTAAAAATTATATATATATATATATGTATATTATTTTTAGAATAGAAAGTATTAATAATCACATATGTAATTTATTGAAACAGTCAGAAGAAGCAGGGGAGAAGGTATTTTTTTTTAATTTTTTAATATTTATTATTAATATTATATTTAGATATTTTTATTATATAATTAAAATCTTTATTATACATTATTTTTAAAGGGAGATTTAATAAAAGCTACTAGTTTTAATAATCAAATTACTATGCTACATGCAGAAATCAAAAGGTTAAATGAAGAAAATGATAAAGCAAATGAAACTAACTTAAAGGTTTTTCAAAAATATTATGAAATTTTTTAGTTATATACACACATATAATATATTTTATTAATATATATATACATATACACATATAATATATATATATTTTTATATATACACATATGATATATTTTATAAATATATTTATTAAATAGGTATGCCAAGTATGTGGGGCCATGCAATCTGTAGGAGATGTAATTCAACGATTTGAAAATCATGTAAATGGTAAACAGCATTTAGGTTTTGAAAAAATAAGAAATACATTGGATAAATTAAAAGTAGGAATAAAAGAAAGAGAAGAAATGATTGAAAAACATAGAAAAATGAAATATAAGAACAATAATCACATGAAAAGAAAAAGAAATAGCCATGAAAATAGTGATAAAAGAAGATCAAGTGATTATAAAAGTTCAAAACATCATAGATCCCCTGAGAGAACTGATAGAATATATCATTCGAGAAAAAGTAAACGATCAAGGAGACATTCATCATCTTATAGAAGTATTTCAAATAGTTCATATTGTTCAAATGACAGATATAGAAAACATTCATCTAGACATAAAAAAGATAGATAAAATAAACAAATATTTTACATATTTTTTTATATTTAAAAAAGAGAAATATATATATATATATAACTGTAAAGATTTATAGAGAGATTTACATAAGTCTATTTGAAAATAATTTTCTCTAAGGTAAAAATTAAAAAAATTTATAAGTATATATTTACTTAATTTATAATATTTTCATTTCTTTATATATATATATATATAGATAGATAGATATTTTTCTAGTATTATTATTATTACTATTTTTATTTTATTTTATTTTATTTTATTTTACTTTTTTTTTTTCTTTTTTTTAATTCACTTTTTTCGTTGCTTCCTATTCATTTCTTTTAAATATATTCTTTCTTATTTTTCTTTTTTTTTATTTTAATAAAACAAAATGTGGTTAAATTTTTATTAATAAGCATTTACTTGCTTTTCATTTGTGACTACAAAAAAATAGTAGGGTATTTATTAAATAATTTTTTGTCTTTATTATAAAAAAAAAATAAAGATTAATTTATTTAGAAATATAACTAAATTATATATATATATAAAATTAAAATTTTTATTTTAATTATAATTTCAGTAATACTGAAAATAATATACTTTTTTTTTTTTTTTTTATTAACTTATAAGTAAATTTTTTTTTCCACATTATTATATTTTAGTATTTATATTTGAATGAAAATTTTAACTGTCTTTATTCTGTTTTATTTTACTTCTACTTTTATATTCACTTAATATACATAATTAAAATATAAATTAATAAATAAAAATAAAAAAATATATATATTAAAAAGTATTAATAATTCATTATTGATATAAATAATATCTAAAATATGTAAAATATGTAAAATGATATATTTATATATTAAATATAATATAAGATAATAATATATATGAATAGTGAAACGAAAATGGATAATACTAATATGATAAATAAACTCAATAAAGAAAAACATGAAGAAATTATAGAATGTTTAAAAAATAAAGTAATTATAATGAAATATTTCATTTATTATTATAATTTGTTGTTAACTTTTTAAAGGGATTGTATATTTCTAGTTATGCTTCTTATTTATTTTTTTTTTTTTTTTTTACAAAATTTTTTTTTCATTACTTAAGGATTTAGGTAAAAATGTTTTTGAAACCTTAGAAAACTTTTTTTTGGAAGAAAAAGAAAACAACAAAAATAATTATAAAGAATTATATCATCTTATAAACAAAATAAAAACAGATTTTGATGATAAAATTAATTCTCTAAAAGATAATACTCACGAAAATTTTGAAGAATTGAAATATTATATGGATGAATTAAATAAAAACAATAAAGAGAATACTTTAGATAGTAATTCTTTCAAAGATGATATTGATTTTATAAAAGATGATTTACTAAATTTAAAAAAACAAAAAGATGAAAATATAAATCTAATAAAATCTAGCACAAGAACATACTTTGACAAAATAAAAAGTGTAGAATTGCATAATTAAAAAAAAAAAAAAAAAAAAAAAATTTAACATATTATTTTTATATGAACAATTTTTACATTTATTTTAGATGTTAAATATTATGAATATAAATATTGAAAATGTAAAAGAAGAAATCACTAAATACAAAGAAAATAATGAAATTGAAAATAAAAAAAAATATATTGAAATTCTTCAATTAATAAATGATGAAAACGAAATTTTAAATAAAAGAAGAGAAGAATCTGTTAATTATGTAATATTATTTTTCATTTTCTTCTATAATATATATATATATATATATATATATATATATATATATATATATATATATATATATATATATAGATTACATTTATTGTATTTCTTTTTTATAAGATAAACGAAGAAATAAAGCAAGTTAAAGAATATATTAATGGTTTTAAAGAAAGTCTAGAAAAACATATAAAAAATATAGAATATAAAATAGAAATAAATAAAAAGGAAATAGATGAAAAAATAAATACTATATCAAAAAATCAAAAAAAATTTTTAGAAGATTTTTATCCTTCTTATAAAAATTAATATATATAATAAAAAATGGAGTTTTCATTTTTATAATTTTTGTATAATTCTAATGGTTATAAACATCATAAAAGAATAACAAGAAATATATTTTTTGATAAAAAAAAATTTACACACATAAAAAAAAAAAATAAGAATTTAATTAAAAATATGTAATATATATATATATATATTTTCTTTTATTTTTAAGAAATATTGAAACTATAATACATTGATTTTTTTATTATGTTCATAAAACATTTCATTCAATTTATCAATGGGGAAAGAATAATTTATTTTATCTAATATGTTTTTTCTAGATTTCAATATATACAATTTGTTAACTAAGTATTTTCTTTTATTATTTAACAATTTTAATTTTTTTAAATAGTAATAAATAATTGTTAAATCAATGGGATTGTATAAATTATTATATTTTTTTAGAAATTCCATCTTTTTTAAAATCATATTTTTATGCATAACAGTGTAATACAAATTTGTTACATTCTTATAATTATCATTATATTTTCTATTTATGTATTCTAAGTTATTTAAAATATTTTTTATTTCCTTATTAATAATGCTTATATCATTTTTTACATTTTTTTCTGATTCTGACTTTATTTCTTCTGTTATATATGAACTTTCTTCATCAATATTTTTTTCATCAATTTCAAATTTTAAATTGTTATCAACACCATAATTGATAACATCATATGCATGTTTTAAAAAATTGTATTTTTTATAATAAACTTTTTCTTCTCTCACTCTTGTTTTTCTCCAACAGTTTTTTTCGTAAGTTTGACATAAAAATGTAGTCTTATGAATGTTTAAACTTTTTCCTTTTTTATATATTTCTTTAAAAGTATGTAAAACATTCTTCTTAACTCTCCTAATTAGTGTCATATTTATAAAAGTTTTTCATTAATATTACCATTATAAAAGATGAAAAATAAAAAAATAAAATAAACTGAAAAATGTTAAAATATATAAATTATTTTCCTCGTTATAAATTAATTTTTTATTTAAATAATTAAAAAAAATATTTTTTTTTTTTTTTTTTTTTTTTTTTTTTTTTGCAGTTTTAAGGTAAACATTTATAATTTTTTATTTTGGAAAAATTAACATTTTTAGTATATATATATATAAGCACATAAATTTATGAATTTTTTAAATCTTATTTCTAACAAACACATTTTTTTTTTTTTTTTTATTATATGATTATCTTATAGGGTAAAATTCTGAACAGCATTTTGTTTTTAAATTACAGTATTTTTAATAAATATTAATTTTTAAAACAAATTTTTTTTTTAAATAGGAATAGTGAATCTTTTAAAAAATTTGTGTTAACACATATCTTTACAAAAAGAATAATTTTTAACATAAAATCAGTCTTAAAAAACAAAAATTTTTAATAAAAATTAATTCTTAAATTCATATATATTTTTACGAAAATGTGTTTATAGAAGAATGCTAAAATAATTTTATGCATCTTCAGATAAAGTAAAAACAGTAATAGTATTATTTTCATCTAAACAAAAATAAAAAAAAGAAGATAAGCATGAATCTAGTATATATGAAAGGTGTTGATGTAAAATATTAATTTTTTTTTTATGTAAGTCGATTATATATGTTGTATAAAAATTTTTGTCAGACATTTCTCCAATTTTTTTTACATTTGAATTTATTAAAATATAATAATTCTTCAGTTTATTTTTGTAAAAATTTACTTTTGATATTGTTGTTGATTTATGTAGACCAGTGAAATCATATATTAATTTTTCACTGTTTTTTATAAAATTAATTGGATAATTATTGTTATCATTTAGTCTTTTATTAAGTTTGTTACTTTTCTCTAATAAAATACCTTCAGTATTTATAATATCACCATGTATATCTTTATCTTTATTCATATTTTCATTTTTATCATCTTCGCTAACATTATTTTCTTTAGTTACACTTTCATTCTTTTCATTTTCACTAAAATCATTTTGCTTATTTAATTTATGTAATTTCTCATCTTTTTTTGGTGTATTTAATTTATTCTCTACAGTATGTTTTTCTGTGTAATTCTCATTACAAATAGAAAAATTATTATTTAAACAAGATGGAAAAATTTGAAAATAAAAAGTCATAAATCTTCCATCACTTAAACCTATTAGTAAATAAATATTTTCATTTTTATTCGTATTTAAGCTAACTATTGATGTTATTTTAACGTTTTTTGAAATTAAAAATGCATAAGAAAAAAAATTTTGTTCCACACATTTAAAAATATTTTCTTTGCAATTATAAAATAAAAAATTATTATTATTATTATTATTATTATTATTATTATTATTATTATTATTATTATTATTATTATTATTATTATTATCATCAAATAATGCATATAACTCATTTTTCTTTATTTTATATATATCATCCACATTTCCGATAATATATTTAAATATGTCATTCGAATAATTATCATCATATATAAATAAGGAGCCATTTCTTATTTGATCATTAGTTAATAAATTATTTACAAAATGTAAAAATTTTTCGCTTATAAAAATAAATACTAAGTATCCACAAGATGATCCTATATAAACAAAGTTACCAATTTCTCCATTAAAATTTTTCTTTTCTTTTTCGACATAAATATAATTGAAATCATATATCAACGTAAAATTTATATTTAAGTTACTGTGTTTTTTTACTTTTATCTTTTGATTTAATACAATATGCTTTCCATTATAACAATTAATAAATGAAAGAAAATAATCTTTATTTAAACCAACACAAATCAATGTTTTTTCATCTGGTAAAAAATCAAAACATTTAATAATAGAAGTAAAATATGAATTATATATTGATAAAGGAGATAAAGTTGCTTCTTCTCCTTCATATTCATCTAATATATCATTAGATAATTTATTTTCCTTTTTTTCATAATATTCTTCTTGTAAAAGATAATTTTCAATATTCCTAAACATTTCTAGTTTTCTATATCTTTTATTTTTTAATTCATTTAATGAACTTTCACTAATATCATAATTATATATAGCACCATTATATGTTAATAACGACAAAATACTTTCATTATCATTTTTTTTCATCATGATTACTGGAGAAGGTATATTAATAAATGAACCAATATACTCCATTAAATTATTTTTGTTACTAGTTTTTTTTTTAATTATGTCTACATTTATTTCTAAGCTGTTTTTATTTAAAAAGTATCCATTTTTCATTAATTCTTCATTTCTTAAATTTTCCTCTTCTATTATTCTTTTTTTTTTCATATCTTCTTCTTTTTCTTTTTTTTTCTTTTCTTCTTCTTTCATCTCTTTATTAATTCTAATATCTTTATCATTTTTTTTTTTTTGAATTCCATCAAAATTATCATAATATAAATACTCTTCTTTAAAAGGAATATCATCATATAATTCACTAATGAAACGAAAATGTATTCCTTTATTGTTTATATTATGATATGAAGAATTTTCTTTTTTCTTTTCATTTATTTTTAAAAAATTTTTTTCTATGTTTCCTTTTTCATTTGTTTCATTTAGATTAAATGTTGCTTTCATATTACTACTATAGTTGTTTTCTTCATTACAATGTTTAATTATTTTAGTGTTTTTTAAATTTATGTTTTCACTATTCATTTTTTTTATTCCATTGAAAAAATGGTTTTTATTATAAACATCACTTAAGTTTATAAAAGTCTCTTGATTTTCTACTTTTTCTTCTATTTTCTCTTTGATTTCTTCCTCCTCTTTGTTTTCTTTCTGTTCTTTTTCTTCTAATTTAGTAATTCCATTTGTTTCGTTTATTTTTCTTAAATTTGCAAAATTATTATAATTAAAAATATGTACTTCATTAAAAACACTTGATGTACTAATGAATATATAATTCTTAGTGCAGCATATTTTACTTAATCTATTTTTTTCTTCACTATTTATTTTTACGTTTTTAAAAAATACAAATGAGGTATTATTTTCAATATTTTCATCATCTGAATCATATAATTTCAAGTATTTTTTATTACTCTTCATTTCTTCATTTTCTGTTGATTCATTAAATATTTTTTTTTTTTTGTTTTCCATATTTTTATAATGTTATATGTAGTTTAAATTAAAAAAAAAAAAAAAAAATAATAATAAATCAGAATAAATAAATAAAAGCATTTATATAATAATACTTTTAATACATATTTATTTAAATCATTTTTTTTAATTATTAATTACTTTATTATTTGCAATATATTTTAATTCATATATTATTTTTAAAACATATATATGCCTATAAATATATGCTATGTTTATTAATTATAATCATATTTATATCAAATCATTTTTATTTTCTTTAATTTTATTTGTAATAATTATTATTTTTTATCTACAACAAAATATATTAACTATTATAACTTAAAATAGGGTTCTTATCATATTGATAAAATATAAAATAAATTGCTTTTCGATAACTATTCTTTATCATTTTTTTATATTTTTCACAAATAAAAAATAAATAAAGTCTTAAATCTATTATAATATTTATTTGATTTATGCTAAAAGAAAAAAAAAAAAAAAAATTAGATTATTATAAGACTTTTAAAAAACAAAATAATAATATATAGTAATATATACATTTATATATTATTTATCAAAAATTATAAAAAAAAAAAAAAAAAAAATTTATTGTAAAAGATTATAAAATCAAATTTCATATTTTTTTTTTTTTTTTTGTTTTTTTATTCTAAAACTTGTTTTTTGTACATTTGAAAAAAAAAAAAAAAAAAGTTAAATGAATAGTAACTATAGGAAATTAGATAGAAAAATATAGAAAAAATTATCAAAAATATAAGATAAAAACAAAAAAAATTAAATCAAAAAGAATTATAATTAAGAATTAAGTAAATAATTATAAAATTTGTTTGTGCTAATATCATTTGTAAAAAGAAGATTTAAAGTTATTTTATGTATCTTTTTTAATTTATCAGAAAAAGAGCATTCTAAAATTAAAGGAAAATTTAAATTTATCGATTGTTCTAATGAATCTTTTCTTTCTTCATTTAGAATGTTAGATTTATTTTCTATTGTAAAATCATTTGGGTTTTCAATATAAATAAAACTAATAACTATTAATGCCATATTATTCTGTTTTTTAATAATTATATTTTCACTTGTTATTACAGTTTTAATATCATTTTCATCTTTTAATAAATCATCTATAATTTCATCATAGGTGTTCATAATAAATTCAAAACTGTTTGCTTTTGATTCACAATTTATAGGTATTTTATTTATATTCAAATTTTTTAAAAAATTATGTTCTATTTGTGGTATTATTTTTATATTCATTTCGAAGTCTAATGGATTTATTAAAACGAAATTTAAAATTCCATTTTTTTTTTTAATTATTCTAAAATCATTAATGTAAATTCTAGGAATATATTTCATAGCATTATTATTAAGTCGAAATGTAGAATATAAATTAGAATTATGAAATTTTAGTAAATATTGTTTACACTTTGAACATCTTTTTGATTTTTTTGCTAATAACTTTTTTCTCAGTGGTTTTAACTCATCTATACCTTTGTAAAAATTATAAGGATAATCATAGAGATGCTCAAATGATAGATAGTTTTTTGAATTAATTATTATATTTGAAAATTTATTATTCTTTAAGTTACTTATTTTGTTATTTATTTTATTTGGATTATTTTCTTCTTTTTTATTAATGTAATTTTGGTTATAATATATAGTATTACTATCTTTATCTTTTTTTTCTACGTTATCATCATTGTCTTTTTTTTCAAAAGCAATATTTATATCATTATTTTCTATATTATGGTCTTTTTCTTCCACTTCTATATTTTCTTTATTTATTTCTTTCTTATATTTTATATTATCACCATTTTCAATATAATTGTTTTTATAATCATCCGTTGTTTCATTAACTTCATTGTCTTCTAAATTATTCTGATTTTGTAATATGATCAGATCTAAATATTTTACATTTTCATTTTGTAATTCAAAAATATCATTAAATTCTTTATCATTTTTAATATGTTCACCATTTAATATATCTTTTAAACTTATTTTGTCTATTTGTATTTTAGATTTACATATTAATGAAGAGTGTTCTCCGTTTAAAAACTGATTTTTATTTTCTTCATTTTTTGTTTCACTTAATTTATTAGAAATCCAGTCATCTAAAGAATTAAGATTTTCTATTTTATGATTTGACGAATATAGATCTATTCTTTTAAGAATTTTTTTTTGTTTTAGTAGTTCATTACTCTTTTTTATTTCATTTAATATGTTTCTAAAATAACATCTAAATATACAATTTTTTTCAAAAATTATCATATCTCCTATTAGTTCATCTAATTTGGTGTTAAAAATAGAATAAATTGATGACCACAAACAATAATGACACTTAAAGTAAAATAATTTTTTATCTTTTTTAATTAATTCATTTTGTTTATTCATCATAAATTTATTTTTTAAATTATTTTCTTCATTTGATATAAATTCCTTCTTTAAATTATTTTCTATTTTATCATCATAGTCACTATTTGAAGTATTTTTTTCAAAAAATTTATAAATGTCTTCATTCTCGTTTTTATAAATACTTGAGCTTGTAAATCCATTATCATATCTCTTACTATTTTTCTTTGTATAACTATCTTTTATTTCATTATTTTTTAATTCCATATTATTTACATTTGAGAGTGAATTCTCTAAATTTTTATGAGCAACTGATAGGCAACTAAAACAAAAAGGACAGTTAAAACATCGTAAGCATTCATAAGAATAAAGAGAAGTTTCATTTTTAGTATAAATTTCAGTACATCCATTACAATAATAATATTCAATTTCTTTCTTCAAATTAAAATCACTTTTAATTTTTGAACATATTATACAAAAATATAATTCTTTTAACTTAAATAATTTATTATCTACTAATATATAAACCCTGTTTTTCATTATAATTTATTAATAACAACGAAAAAAAAAAAAAAAAAAAAAAAAAAAATTAGCATTAATAAAATTTATTACAATAATTGATAATACTAAAAACAACTATAAACATACATCTGTAGTTGTAATATTAAGTGGAAACTAATAATAATCCTTATGATAATTATAAAAATAATGATTTTAATAATCACAAAAAAAGAGATAAATAAACGTAAAAGTAATCAAATTAAAATATATTAAATATAAAAAGTAACTTTAAATAATTATGATTCTAATTTTTTTTTTTTTCTTTTATTATATTCTTTTTCTAATCTTCATACTTTTTTTTAAATTTAAAAAAGTAAAGAGACAAATAATAAATTTATTTTTATTAATTTTCATGAAAAAAAAAAAAATATAATAAAGTAGAATAAAAAAAAAAATACATTTCTTTATAAAATATAATATTTTTACATAATACATAATACATAAGAAATACTCCAAATAATAAACTAATTATTTGTTCCTTATAATTCTAATTATTAACGAAAAAAAAAAAAAAAAAAAAAATATTTATTTTTGAATGAAAAATATATTATTCTAATTATTAGCATGTTTAAAATTATATTTATGAATAAAATAAAGTTATAATTTCCATTCTATGTATTTAATGTGTTTTTACTTTTATTTATTTTTTTTTTTTTTTTTTTTTTT